CCGACGAAGAGGTAAGAGCAGCAGTTCTAGGAGCCGCTCCTCGTCTCACAGCCGCTCACCCGCCCGCCCGCCGATTTTCGACCGTCTGGGTCCGCATCCCTGCGGAAATCAACGAAGCGGATACCGCGCATCATCGTCCGCTCGAAACGCTCTGCTCGATCGGGCGAAGCACCTGCCAGCGGTCCCCAGCAGGGTTCGCCGGCGACTTGCGGACCCAACGCGGTACGTCGATTTTGATTGCTTGCTACCAAAAAACCGGGTGGAAAAACCGAAGCATGGAGGCTCCAAGCTGGTAATGTCAAGAGGACACGTCGTGTTAAAGCCAAACGAAGTGCGCGTAGTCGTTGACTCCTTCACCTCCTGGATCCGCGCCTTTTCCGTGTTCCTGGCATACCGCGTCACAATCGTGCCGGAGCTAGCTACGGCCCTGGCTAAGTATCAAGATCTGATTGCGGCATACGTCGACCGGGGGGTTCCGACCGCCCATTGGCTCGAGTATGACCGGCAATTCAGATCGCTCATGACCAGCCACCCTCATGAAATTGACATGTGGGCCCGCCAGCATGACGACACTTACGCCGATTATATCCAAAACGCCGTGCCAGAGGAGGCTGCCAGCGACAGTGACCCAGAGAGTAGATTGAAGAAGATAGCAGCCTCCACGGACAAATGCCGGAACTGCGGAGAGCTGGGCACTTTATCGCCCAGTGCAAGCAGCCACGCCGCGGCCAGGCCGGTTACGTACCGCCCTTTCGTCCCGCCCCAGCAGCGGGGGGCGAAATCTGCCGCAATCATAACTACGGCCACTGCACCGAACCATGCAAACATCGGCGCCTTCACGTCTGCGAGCACTGCCGGGAAAAGGACCACAAAGCACCCCAGTGCAAAGCCGGAAGTCGCTGAGCCGTCGAGAGTTCCGGCAAGCGCTTGGACGCCCCTGCGTGCCGACGCTTTTGCCAGGCTGCTCACGGATCACCCCGATAAAGATCTCCGTCAGTTCATCCTCAACACCTTGCGTACCGGAGCTGATATTCGGTATACAGGACCGCAACAAAGCCGGTCCACAAGTAATTCACAGTCCGCACGAATTCACCACGACGCGCTCCTGCAAAGCATAAGAAAGGAGGTTTCGCTGGGTCATACCGTCGGACCATTCTCTGCTCCTCCGCTGCCTCACTTCGTCGTTAACGCGCTGGGCTGCCGTCCAAAAAAAAGACGGGGCCATCGGACTATAATGGACCTTTCCCAACCGTACGGAAACAGCATCAACGACTACATAAGGGGCGATGAAATGCCCTTGCAGTACTGTTCAGTCGACGATGCTGTACGCCTAGTCGTGACCGCCGGCAAAGGCGCAGTGATGGCCAAGATGGACATCAAGTCCGCGTTTCGCCTCATTCCCGTCAGACGCGCCGACTGGAACCTGCTGGGGTTCAAGATTAGCGGTGAGTACTTTTTCGACATAGTGCTACCGTTCGGTTGCCGCTCTTCACCTTATATCTTCGAATTCTTCTCCCTTGCTGTTCACTGGTGTGTGGGAAAGAGAGCACGGCTAGTTACCTTGCTACACTACGTAGATGATTTCTTTTTCGTTGGCAAACCTCGGACGATCGAGTGCAGTCTGCTCATGCAGTCTATGGAGGCAGTGTGCAGCGAGCTTGGGGTGCCATTAGCTCTGGACAAAACAGAGGGCCCCGCCACTCGGCTGACATTCCTCGGCATAGTGCTTGACTCGGTGGCGCAGACTCTCAGCCTGCCCAACAATAAGCAGCTAGACATAATGGAAACCCTCAAGAATTGGGTCGGAAGGGAATCCTGTACCACTAACGAGCTGCAAAGTCTGATCGGTACATTGTCTTTTGCCTCAAAATGCGTACCATCCAGTCGGCTGTTCACGAGGCGAATGATAATGCTGCTTTCCGCCTTCCATGGACGTTCCACTATCACTCTCACCGACGACTTTCACAGTGACCTGGATTGGTGGAGAACATTTCTGCCACAATGGAACGGCACGGCCCTCTTCCTGGACCCGGACTGGACCACCTCTGACGTACTGCACCTTTATACAGACGCATCCGCCACGCTTGGTCTGGGAGCCTTTATCAAAACGAATGGTTCCAGCTTAGGTGGCCAAAGTGGATCCTGCAACGCCCGCCATCAATTGAGTACCTGGAGATGGTTCCCATCCTCCTCGCGGCTATTGTTTGGGGGCGGAATTTGTGGCGACGAAAAATCATTTTCCATACTGACAACGCCGGCGCTGTGGAGGCATGGGCACGCCTGCTCCAGCAGCCCGGGCGTCCTTGATCTTATGCGGCGCTTGACGCGGGCGGCGGCAGATAATAATTTCACCTAACCTTGAAACACGTTCGCGGCGTTGATAACGGAATAGCTGATGCCTTATCTCGTTTTCAGACGGAGCGGTTCCGAAAGCTGGCCCCTCAGGCGTCGCAGTCGCCTACACCATGTCCGGACATTTTCGAGCCTGCAGGAGTCTTACGACCAAACCCGACTCTGCAGCGCCTCCTCGGCGCAAACATTTCCTCATCCTCCCGAACGACATACGATTCTTCGTTGAGCCGTTTCAAGCATTTTGCCTTGCCAATCGCCTAACACCGCTCCCAGCAGCTCCGGCGACGGTCGCTGCGTTTGTCGCGCAGCTTTTCGAGGACAAGGCAGCTTATCGGACATGCAAAGTGTATTTGGCGGCGATCCACAATCATCATCGAGAAGCAGCGTTGCCTAACCCAACAGCCGACGACCTGGTCGTGCGGGCGGTTAACGGATACAAGCGGCTTAAGGGCCGACGCCTGATCAACGTCTACCGATTACGCTGAACGTGATGCGCATGCTCAAAACGCGACTGGCAGAGCACGATAACACTGAAGAGGCCGTGATGCTATGGAGCGCGTTCTGCATGGCTTTCTTTGGGTTCATGCGAGTCAGTGAGCTGGTAAGCAAGACGTCCAGCTTGTTCGATGCGGCATCAACCCTGACATGCAACGACGTACAGTTGACGGGCGCGCGTGTGATAGTCTCACTGAAACGGACGAAATCGGACCAGTGCGCAGCAGGCACAAAGATCGAGCTCACCGCAACTAACCGCTCAGTGTGCCCTGTCCGCGCTATCGAAGCTTACCACCGGCAGCGGGAGATGCAAGGGGGAATGACAAAACCTTTCTACCGCTATGCCGATGGTCGCTATCTCACACGGAGCGAGTAGATCGATCCCTGAAGTCTCTCCTGGATGCCCACCCCGACCGCCTGCGCTTCAGTACACACAGCTTCCGCATCGGAGCGGTAACTGAAGCGGCCGCTCAAGCGCTGCCGAAGGAGGAGATAAAGCGAGCCGGACGATGGAAAAGCGACTGCGTTGATCGTTACATCCGGCCTGACGCGCTCACTAACCCGAACTTCTACCGGAAAGGGGCTTGTTTGGGGGGGCGAAGGGACCGGGCACAGGCGGAAGGTGCCGGCAGTGAGCAATCTGTACCGCAAAGTAAGATACTCAGCTGTAATTGCGCACTTCCGGCCATGCCGGCACTCTTCAAACCTCATTTACCGCACGAAAAGTCTGCAATATCCCAGCATACCGGATCCCAGGATAGGAAATTCGCTTACAATTTAACATCCGCGTTAAAATCAGTTGTACGTGTAAGTGGCATGCAGAACTTGGCTACGTCAAGCAGATGAAACACAGTGTGTTGCCACTGCCAGTGTTTGAGTTTAGTACTGTAAAAAATTAACTATCATGGATAAACGAAAGCGTAATGATTTGACTTTGTAGAAAAAACTTGAAATTATAGATGCGGTTGTTTACGATAAGAAATAATTCTGCTTGTTCCGATTTTGTGCATAAAGCGCAGGACATTTTAGCTAGAGAGGTTGCGACGAAAAAGCTGGCTTATGCAGCGAAAGCAAAGCAACAGACGCTAGATTCCTTTTATGTAAAACTGTAAGTTTTTTGTTCAGTTGTTAGCGATGGGCACAGTGCATATTCTAATATTACTTTACTGAAGCAATAGCCAATAAGCTTACATATTGCACATATGTAATAGTTCTGCTTTATTAACTGGGGAGGGGGCGAAAATTTTTACTACCCCTGGGGGCAGTTCTGTAAATTAAATACACCTGGATAATAAATATGGGATTTGCGGAACCGTCGGTGTATTTTGTTACCAGGTTTTACTGTACACCAACCGGTCGATTATGCTACCGCGTGGAAGAAAATTTACTGCATGAGGTCTTCAATCATTTTATACCGAGCTTGCCATAATGTAGCATCGACTGACCCCGTATGTACCACAAACAGCTTCTTACTTCATTAGCGGCGCGTAATTGTCGTTAACGCGGTGGCGCCGACAAATGACAACTTTGGCCTCGATAGCTTAGGTAGTGATGGAATTTTGTTTACGTTCCGTATATCGAACACACTACACAAACAAAAAGGCCCAAAAAAGGCTTCAGGGCGCATGAGAATTACCGCGTATTCGTCTGGGTTTTTTTGACAAGTGGTTCCGTGGTTAAAAAATATTACTGTCGCCGGCATAGCAACATGCACAATGACACGGCAAATACGGCATGCCTGTGGTAGAGTACGAAGATTTAGACGCCGCTGTTACGCTTCTAACATACAAGCGCTGCGGTACTTACAGACAAGGATGTCTTTTTGCTGCAATCAATCAACCAATGTGCACCTCACTGCAGTCATTTGATATCACAGATTGTTGTACCTTGAGGTGCTTGACCTTAATGTTTTTCGAAATAGCAATACGTATGCGCCAACGTGACCTTATTAATTAATTTTAATATTTCGTTGATGGCGGGTATTGCACATGTAACATGTTCAACGCTCTACATACGTGTAGTCATTTATCAGACCACAAACCGTGACCCTTCAACGCGGACCGCCCGAAAACATGTTAACGAAAATAAGCATAACGCATCGCTATATAAGAATTCGATACATCCCAGGTAAAAACCAAAGCACTTCTGTAGAATAGTAAGTTTTTTTACGCAAGTACAGCAATACTAACATAACAGCCACCATGGCGGTGATTCTTTTTGTAGCAGCGTTAACAGTTTTGAGCAGCGGCTACGTTCAAGCCCAAGCCTACGGTTCCTACGGTACACCTTCTGCAACTCCTATGCCAACTCCTGCTGCAACTCCTGCTGCAACTCCTGCTGCAACTCCTGCTGCAACTCCTGCTGCTACGCCCGCTGCAACGCCCGCTGCTACGCCCGCTGCAACGCCCGCTGCAACGCCCGCTGCAACGCCCGCTGCAACGCCAGCTGCAACGCCAGCTGCAACGCCAGCTGCAACGCCAGCTGCAACGCCAGCTGCAACTCCTGCAGCAACTCCTGCTGCTACTCCTGCAGCAACTCCTGCAGCTACTCCTGCAGCAACTCCTTCTTCGACTTCTTCAAGTGCAACGTGTAATGCGGCACCGAAGGTCTATAGCCTGACTGGTGAAGGTACGTTTGCGCGCTGCCTTTTTTATTTTCTTGGGCTCTGTAAGTGTAAAGTCTTTGCTCGTGCTGAAATAGCCCTGCATGGCTACTACCCCGTCCGGTAATTTCTTTCGCAGGACACAGTACGTATTTAACTTGAATCTGTAGGTGTCGCTGTGTCGATGCGATAAAAATTACGGGATAAGCTTGTACGAGTATGCAACGTGGTGTTTACGTGCTAAGTTAATTTGTATGTTTAACAGTATTAAACACCGCCCAGTTTTGTAGATCTGTACAAGCAGTTGCTGGCGGATTTGGCCCTCTCTGAAGTGGAAATTAACGGCATTGCCAAGCAGAATGCCGGTGTGACCATCGTCAATGTGCCGGTCGCCGGCAGCTCTAACTTTTTCCTCCAGGTTCTGTTGGCTGTTAACCGCGACAACCTTAAGCTGCAGGCGCTGACCAATGGAGGCAACGTTTCGGGTGCTGACTGCTTAACCTTAATCCAGGGTCTGGGAGGGGATATTAAGAACGTGCAGGCCCACGCCGCCGATATCATTCCGGGCTCGTGTGATTCTCTCACTGGCGAAGGTACAATACGTTGTGATGACATGCTGCTATGATTGTGTAAAGAATTTTCATTAATTTGCAAAAAGGATTGAACCAAACATAAGCCTTCTAAAGTGTTACTAAAAATTAGTAAAGTACGAACACTACAAAAATAATAAGTGCTGTTCAATCAGAACCTTAGTGTTAAAAGGAATTGTACAGTGAGCGCGGTAGTGCACTTTTAAACGGTTTCCTTTTACAGCTAAAAATCAGTATGTGCTGCAAAAACTCGGAGCCGCTCTGCAAAGTCTGACCACAGCTGGCCAGGCCCACCAGAACGACGCGAATCAGGGACAATGGCTGTCAGTCGTTGTCAACCTGTACAAGTCCATGCAGCGTGTGACAGCTGCGGCCAACAACAACGACCAGAGCTACGAATGCACAGCGGCTGCCAAGCAGATCGCTGACGCATTGAAGGGCATCCTGCAGGCCAATGGAAGCTCGATTAGTTAAAGAACAAACTATGTATTGTGATGATGTCGGTGCATTTACAACGAGTTTTCTGGACTTAATTCTCCTGTATTCTGCAACTTTTATCACGATAATGTTACTGACACTACAACAGTTATTTAAATGAATGTGATGATGTTATGTAACTCTTTCAAAAAATGCATGAAATCAGTCGGATTATGAGTTTAAACCAGGAGCATGTACCTTTTGGTATTTCGGCTCCGAAAAGCCGATCATTATCTGCAAAAAATAAATAAGGGAAAAACATGTGTTTATTGTGCTAGCGATAGTTGTTACGTGAAATGCTGAAACCGGATATGTAATCGCTGTGGAGCAGCTGACGTGATGGAGATAATATTACTACAAATTGATGCATACTAATAATATTGAATTCGTCTTGTAAGATGGAGCTCCGATAGTCATGAGTCGTTTCGTTTTACATATTGCACGTTTAATACAAGTTCAAAGTTGTTAACATTCAGTTAATAACATGTATAAGACCATAAACCACTAAGACGTTGCGTTAATTACAGTATAATCACTAATTACATAATGCGAAAGTTTCTGTAGAATTCTACCAGCAGGGAAACGTGCCATATAAGGTTATGCTATTGCTTCATCGTCAACTGGCTTAAAGGCTAAACTTTTCCATTGGCGTTTTAAAGCACCGCCCATAACAGTAACATTATTAATTTTCCCTGGTCGGCCTTGGTTTTCGATGCATTTCCGATCAACAAACATACACATTAACTAGGGTATATTACATACTGTATTAAACTGCGCAGTCATCAAGCAGTAAAGGTCTCTGCGAAGTACACCTCACGTCAGTAAATCATTTTAAGACATGTATACAGATACATAATTACATATAAAATAAAGGACTGAATGAATGGTTGTGCAACTGTTATAGCTTGGATACCTGTAATAATATTGCTCTGCTTCTTACGCAGACATGCGCCGCCGGTGGCTGGTTTCGCAAGTGGTCAACGTGCTTCAGTTACTTCATGCACTTCAACAAACTATCAAGTAACAAGTGTCATCATAAACCATTAGCGCGAATCATCTAACCGCAGCTGAGCCCAGACGTAAACTAGAACACAATAAAAGTCAGCCAACAATAAGCAACTGCATAAAATTAGCGGCTTTTTTCGAACATCGATTTATATTTCTGACCACGAACGTGCTAATAGTTAGAACCATGATTGCAAGCAGTTTCTTTATAGTAGCAGCGATTGTGGCCAGCGTGTCTGCTCAATCCGGGTCTGGTAGTTCAGCAACATGTAACGCGGCACCGAAAACGTATCCTAATTTAACTGGCGAAGGTGGGTTGGTTTTTGGTTTAGACATATCTTCTAAATTTTCTCTAAAAGTTCGGTTTACTTATGTTTGCAGCTCTGTATCAGCAGTTATTGGCGGATTTATCTGTGTCGGAAGTGGAAGTGAACAACGTGGCCAAATCCAACCCCAACGTCCCCATTAATAACAGCTCCGGGCTTTTCCTCGGTGGTTTATTGGCTCTGAATCGCGACAACCTGCAGCTCCTGGGTCTGGCAAATAACGCCGATATTACAGGACCGGCTTGTCTGCAGCTGGCAACGAGCCTGTCCAACGACATTCAACTGGGGTTAGGACATGCCAGCGACATTATCCCCGGGGCATGTGATTCCCTTACCGGTGAAGGTAAACAACCTGTAAAATTAATCAATGATATTTTTTTATCGGTTTCTGGTGGGTATTGAATTTTACTCATCGCAGCGCCACTCTAGGCAATTTTGTATGGAATTCTTTTATTTAACGTAAGTGCACAACACATATTTTTATTACACCGCGTTTTATTACAGCTGACAGTAAACTTATTTGATTGTTCTTTCGCAGCCAAATATCAGTTTATCCTCCAAAAACTGGGAGCAGCATTGACTAATTTGGTACAAGCCGGTCAAGCTCACCAAAATGACAACTATGAATCGCAGCCCTGGCTGTCCAACGTCGTAAATCTGTACAAATCCATGGTGCGCATCCAGGCTGTGGTGACAAACAACGACAATACCTCCGAATGCCAAGCGGCTGCATTGCAAATCGCTACCGCCTTGACCGGCATCTTGGCTGCTAATGGAAGCACACTTAATTAAATTAGCGCTGGAATAGTTTTTTTTTCTGACAGCACTCATGCATTTTGCCACTTTTTTACAAAAAAAAACTTTTTTGCCTGTTTTAATACATAGAAAAATTATGCTTGTACTCTGTAGTTGCCAATTCCTCTGTAGTTGTAATAACATCATGTGAGACCGGTATACCTATTTTATACCCATTTAGCGCACCAGAGGGCGTTTCGTGTTCGGGGTACAAATGCCACAGGTTCAAGTACAAAGCAAAAATAACGTTGCCTAACTGATTGACCATGCTGTAAGTCCCTTCATCACTAGCCTGTCGTTAGGACACATATAGTACAACTACAAACTGTACATTTAGCAGAAGCTGACCAGACTGTTCTCAACTGTTGATCCTACATACGGGCCAATCTATGTGTCCAATAAACTGAGCCACTTTGATTTTGAATTTTTTAAATTTCTCTTCTTGGACTGGAAGATCGCAGTAATATCTCAAAGGCTTTGGTGACCTTTCATCCTTCTAAACCTCGGAAGCGCTCAAATGGCAATTTGAGTTAAAAAGCTCTTCCAATAACGTTTGCAGCTACTTCCAATAACGTTTACAGCTACTGTACTCTGTATATTGCAGCAGCATCCACATAATTCCTTTCAGCATAATTCCTTCGCAGTAACCAATTAATGCTTTAATTTCCAAAATGCAAACTCACCACGCTTGTAACTGATACTAACACGTGCTAAATAGTTCACGCGCCAAATATTTACGTTTTCTTGGTAGACTAATGACACGAAAGGTCCAGGCCATGTTAACTACTGTCCGTAAGTAATCCGACTGGTTTTGCACATTATTTTGTAGTAAAGTTCTGCCTCAGTGCTGAGAAGCAAGAGCAACCTGAATTTCATCTCGTTAATCTTTCATTTCCGAAATGCCCTGCTAATTCACCGGCGTTAATAATAACGCTGACGCATTAGGCAATTTCTCCCTGAAAAGCAAGTATTCTTACAGCAAATCCAAAGAAGAGCCACTCGCAAGTAAAGACAAATTTGATTAAATAATGGCGGTCGATATCTACCTATAAATTTAATATGCATCTGATGAGATTTGCCGAGTCTAATTAAAACACAGATAGCGGCGCCTGGATCCTCTGTAAAGAGATTTAGATTTGTGCCGCGTAGGACAGCATTCACCTGAACACAAGCCAAGTGGGTAAAGACCAGTTACCAAACTAAACAATGTTAAATTCGTGTTAAATTCCCTGCACTGCGTTGTTACTTGTTCAGTCCTCTTTCTTGATGGTAACTTGCGAACGTGACAGGTTGCCCTCAGCGTACGCTGGAGCGATCACATTCAGCCCCGATAATTCGTGTTGACAAACTGTTACTCTAACAGATTTTACCCTGTGCTGTTCTCAATAACCACCTGCCGGCTTTGCATGGTGGGATATTGTCTTGCACTGCTTCCGCAAGTGTTCGGTGAATTGATACAAATTAAACGCGGCATCCGGGCCGGATGCGGGAATCGCACGTACACATGTCAAGCGGATAAAGAACATTACAACAAGCCGCTTTCCACGGCACGGCCTGCTGGCACGATATACAGTGTTTGCGAAAAATTAATTCAGCGCAGAGTACACTACTCGCAGACAATGAACGTTTGGAATATAACCAATGACAGCGCACCGGTAGCCATCTCTACTGTCAGGGCACCTACACCAGGATGGACACCGGTGCTCATGGTGACCACATCCACGTTGTGCGTATCCTGCATTCTTAATATCGCGGTGCTTCTGTTGCAGCTCACCCCGTGGATGCGGGTGACCTCCTTCACCATCTACCTTATCGCTATCTGTATTGGCAACATTCCGGTAATGGCCGCGCGCCCGATCGCCCTGCTCAACAGTCTCAACGGAGTGTATCCCGGCGGACAGGAATTATGCGTCACATACATGTACATCCAGTTTGTTATCAGTCAGATCCCGGTGTTAGTGCATGTTCTGATTGCGATTAACCGTTTATGGGCCATCACTTACCCGGTATCGTACCGGCAGCGCCACAATATAAAGTTGGCGGTTTTATTATGTTTAAGCGTGGTGGCGTACGTCCATGTTGTGCAGTTTCCTATCTTCCTCCTGGAGTTTTTCTACTACGCTCCGCCGGGAAAACAGAACGGATGCCAGCCCGGCGCGGGAGGTAACTACTATAGACGGCTATATAGGCGCTTTTCCCACGGTCACACCCGTGAGAATGACCTTTCGCCAAAGCGTGACCTTTCGGCGAATGACTCACCGTTGGATATATTTTAAATTTCTTTCAAAATTAATATAATAAATAAATAATATATTAATATGTTATTAAAATTATTTAACCTAAAAAATAATTAAACACGTCTATATATTTTTCTACAACGAAAAGAAATACGTAGCGGATTTGAACGTGGGGGCTGAATAATAAGAACGCAGTTAGTGTGTTATATCTACCCAACTGCATTATTATTATATTTCAGCCCCAAACCATTCGGCTACGGATCCAATTTTCTACTGGAAGAAATAGTGTGCACCGTCGGGAATGGTTATAAAAAAGGGGGCTTTAGGGGAATGGAACGCGGGAGCTAAACTGCAGAGAAGCAGTCGCTACACATTTCAACTCGACTGCTTCTCTGCAGTTTAGTTCCCTTACCATTCGACCACGGCGCTTACTATCTTTATTCACTTATACAACAGCCTTCATACATCTTACTTAACCAAGAGAAACAGGATTGTATTTATTAACTACTTCCAACAGCTCTTGTTCCGCTGCATTAAGCATAGCTTCGGTCTTCGCACCAAGCAAATTGACTTTACCAGAGTGAAAAAGAACAGCGGTACAAGAAGCCACACGCATGCTTAAACCTGGGAATCGTTCTGGATTATACAGTTTCATGTATGAAATCGGCAGTTTTTCATAAAGCATTTCAAGGTTCAGTTTACGCTGTAAATTAACGGACGCAACAATATTCACAATCTGAAACTGCGACACTGTAACACCTTTAAACCCAAGATCCTGGATCGCTTTGCAGTAACGATGTGCCAAATTGCGAGCCTTCCGTATCGTATTTGCGCCATTAACGGTGATTTTACCATTGCTGTAGATCTGGCAGTGAGATGGATAAGGTTTATACCTGCGCATTAGGAGTCCCGAAAATTTCTGTGGACGGTATTCGACCATGTCATCCATGATATCAATATAATCCAGGTCTAGCATCTGATTCAGATTCGCTGTCGCTACTATGTTCGTTATCATGCTTGACTAGCCAGTCTGTGAAAGCCACAGCTCTGTTAAAAAGTGTGTGTGGTTTAGTGGAAAGGTGATCATAGGGTGGGCATCCAATGTCATCCAAATTGTAACGTCCCGTAAAAGTTTCCACAATGTCATCAAAAACACTGGACAACTGTGCCTTGTAATTCTCGTCCGCGGCTTTATAATGGGCACCTGGTATCAAAGGCGCGTTCCAATTCCAGGCATGCAGACATTTAGGTATTTGCAGTTTATAGGACTGCACATGTCGACAAGCGCAACAAGAAACGGATAATCGCTCAATATAGGTGGACCCGTTGGTGGTTACAGAGAATAATTCAACTACTGCGTCCATTTTAACTGTTTTTTGTCTGCTGTGTGATCGATTCCTTAAATACAGTTTACAAATGGCATTTCCCATAGTCGATTTTGAAACTCGTTTGCGCACTCCTGCTGGTATCGTAGTGGTCGGTGCCTCGCAGGTTGGGAAGAGTCGTTACATCACCAAACTGCTAATCAATCGCGATGATATGTTTGATGTTAAATTTGCTCGAATCGTTTATGCACCACTGAGTGGCAGAAAGATTACGAACTCTTGCAAAACAAAGTGCCATCAATAGAATTCACTCACGGTGTAACAGAAATTTTGGAAAACGATCACTTTTTCGCTGGGAGCGAGCCTAAATTATTAATTTTAGATGATTTGGCAACAAGCATTGTTGAGAGCAAAAGTGGAAGTAAACTTTTTACCCAAGGTATACACCATAAAATTTGACAGTGATTTACGTTGTCAACAATCTTTTTAAGCAAGGAAAATCTAGCAGAGACATACATTTAAACAGTCAATACATTCTGTTATTTCGCAATGTGCGCGATGTGAATCAGGTTAAAATTTTATCCAATCAGATGGGACTTCCATATTTATCTGCAGCCTACGCTAAAGCAACCGAAGAGCCATATCAACCTCTGGTTATCGACTTGCGAACGGATTCGCCAGGGTATTTAAGACTGCGGTCGCATATCCTACCAGGTGAGGTGCAACGTTTATATTTGGACCCTTCAAAATCCACACTGCCCAAAAATGTCCGCTAACGTGAATTCTTTAGCACCTTTATTGATTACACTAAGGTCACTCAAACCAGCACAGCGTCGCCAGCTGATCAGTTTTTGCAATCGCAAGCATTTGAAGGCTTTCTCAGAGGTTGCGCTAAACTGTGTGAAAGGGACAGCCCAGCTAACTCCGCAGCGGTTAACTGTGTGCAAACGTTGGCGTAAGCCCTTAAAGCTTCTTGCTTTACGCCGTCATCCTATGAAAGCTAAAAAAGATATTTTATTGCAAAAGGGAGGATTTTTGGCTGCAGTGTTACCTATCTTAGCCTCCGTTGTTGCCAACGTCTTAACTCAATAGCTAGCAATGGGAAGTACGGTATCTTGTGCCAAAAGAAATGATTAAACCAACCGGTGCTTTACCACAGCCAAGCCCACCTGACTTTTCTTCAATCAGGAGCCAGCCGAAGCTTTTGAAATTTTGTCCCTGGATTCAATTACTTCGAATATTTTACAACGCAAAGATTTAAGTCAGTGGCAAAAGGCTGATATGCTGAGTAAAACCCTGGAAAGGTATTTAGCTTTGCGACCTAATGCGGGTCCTGATCCCACCTTGGCAGTACCCCCGCCACAAGTACCGTTGCAGCAACCAGAACCTGCCCCCAAGCAGAAGGTAGACTTTGCATCGTTCCCGAGCTTTCAAACAGTATCACCGGTAAAGGAAAAAAAGAAGCGAACAAAACGTCTTTATACCAAGATTCCCCGAGAACTGCGACCCCGAAGTGCTGCTGGAAACGTCGCAAAACAAAAAGCGGAAAATCAAGTGGGCAGCGGTTGGATTCAATGGTGAAATGAATCCCTGCGCTCCCATATCTGTGCATGTTGGAGAAAATATGCGACTAAACTGTTTTTCATCTTGTTGTCAAGACGAAGAGGATGAAAAAGAACGAAAAGACGCTACAACAGATGTATTCCGATCCCCAGCACGTTGCCAGCCTAGGCGGTCTATGTCGGCTCCAGCGTTATTGCAGCCCTCCTCATCCAAGCCGGAAAGAGGCACAGCAGGTTTTGGAAAGCTTGGATGCCTACACACTACATAAGCCAAGACGTTACAAATTCAAAAGAAATCCCATCGTGGTACTGGACAAAGGCGTCCAGCTTCAGGTGGACCTGATGGATGTTTCAAAATACAGCAAGGAAAACAAGCATTTCAAGTTTATCGTGGTAGCAATTGATTGTTTCTCACGAAAAATGGCGTGCGAACCGGTGCTTAACAAATGCGGAATCAAAGTGGCAGCAGCGCTTGAAAAGATTCTCGATCGATATGGCTATCCTGCTTTGGAAAGAATACAATTCGACAAAGGTACTCTAGTGTCTTTTTGTACTCATTATTCTATTACATGACCAGATTACTTTGATTATTGTAGGAAAAGAGTTTTATAATTCGGAAGTGAAAAGCTTACTAAAACAACGAAAAATCCACATGTTTTCTTCAGAAAATAGCGACATTAAGTGCGCTATGGCGGAGCGTGCGATTCGTACCATAAAAAATCGCCTATGGCGGCTGTTTGAAGTACGCAAAAGCCATAAATACTATGACGTACTGCAAGACATTATTAACGCAATCAACCAAGTACCCACTTCGGCTCACGGAAAAGCACCGGCGGACGTTGACGACAGTAATTCTCTTGAAGTTTTTAACACGCTCTACCGCGATATGCTGTTGAACTCACCACAACGTCCACCAAAGTTTAAAGTAGGCGATAGCGTACGAATTGCTGTAGACAAGTCCGTGTTTAAGAAAGGCTACGAAGCAAATTTTTCTCGTGAAGTATTTAAGGTGCAGCGTGTTATACGGCACATACCAGAACCAGTGTACGAGGTCCAGGACCTAGCCGGTGAGGTAATTAAAGGAAAATTTTACGAGCCTGAACTAGCCTTGTGCAGCGATGGCAGCCCAGGATAAGCCTTTTTTATGTTACCCTTGTTTCGGATTCTTCGCTGGCCCAGCATCCCAATAACAATGCTGCGGAATGGACCACCAGATTAAAAAGCGCCATCAGTATTACGGGAAAATGGGAGGTTGGAATTGCGGAGGTGGTTTACATGAATTCGATTTACAATGTCCCCAGAGAACAAGAATTACTATGCCATATTGTCCAACAGAAAGGTGCAAAATTAGTCAGCAAATTTGTCAACATCAACAATGAACCGGGTGCAAGAGCTTTGGACACCGAAACCGAAATTCAGACCGTTTCCATCAAAGTACCCCCCGGGACAGTATAATTACGGCGATGTAATGACCATCATTCGCGAACAGATCCCGCTGATGGAAACCAAATCAAGGGTCATGGTGCCAGCATTCGTGCTTGTCAAGGACCACGAAGAGCGACGTATTAAAATGGCGTTTCGAAACCTACGCGTATGGTTGGAATTTCCAGAGAGTTCAGGACTGTTAAAAACAATGCTGGGGTTCTTGCGGAACGTTATTACTCCTGTCGAAACGCTGGCTTATCCCACTCTTAAAGGAGAAAAATCTCCAAACTTTTCAGAGGATCATGCGTTTGCCTTTTGGTCAGTCATCCATTCTGAGGCAGTAGCCACTACATCAGAAGCGGGCGACAGTGTTGAGGACAAGTTTCCTTATCTATTCCATGCACCTAAACCAATAAATTTTCAGCTGGGTAAGCAGCTGATGTACATCTATTCGGACGTTTGCGACTACGGCTATTTGGGGACTCCATGGCGCAAGTATTGCGTGTGATAGCTATTAAAGGAAAGCCATTTGAAGTGGTCACGGAAACTTTTGATAATATCCACTACGTACCGGTGCTGCAAGCGCATATTCAGTCCATCAATATAACTGTTTGCAACGAAGTTGGTGAGAACGAACCATTTCAAACCGGTAAAACCCTAGTAAAACTACACTTCCGGCCAGCGCGGTACTACTGAGAAAATGCAGCTAAAGGAGTTCGTCCCCGATCCGGGCCTGTTTATGGATATGTTGGAGCAGAACCAGGTTGGCCATGGTCCGCTTGGTCGCTATCGAGGAGCGGCTATGCAAAACGGAGCTGGTTTCATGCTGCCAGCTTTCTTGCGTACGATATTCTCCAAAGTGGCAAGATTTGCAGCACCCATTATTCGATCAGCAGCCCCTCACGCTCGTGCCGCGTTAGCGGCAGCACAACCACATTTGACTGAAGCGGGAAAAACCGCGGTCGCCGAAGCAACTAAAGCAGTGGCTGCCAAACTCGACAAAGTTTTGGACACATCTGCCCCAGAGCAGGCTGGACAAGGCAGACGGCGTAAGAAAAAGCCACGAGGACTACAGCGTAGTAAGGTTTCTGTAAAAAAATTGAGACGCATAGCGCCGTACAGCTATCCTGATGCGTTTTAAGCATTAAAGGCGTGCCGGCTGCAACATCATTATCAGCAGCTGCCATGGCGTTTATTCTGGAGCACAGCGAGCCGGCCATGCTGGCCGAGAACCATTTGTTTATGGTGCCCGCTTCATACACGGACCGATGGAAAACGGAGGAAGAGAGAATACAGCCAACGGCAGCGGTCACGGAAGACATGGGTAGCGGAGATATCAACTTTTTCATCCCGCCGACGGCCGTTGGTCTTATCAGCTTATGCGATATGAGCATCGAGTTGCAAGTGTGCATTAAGCGAAAAAAACCAGCGGAAGACGAAAAGAGTTGGACGCTAATTGAAGCGACTGACCGAGTGGTGCCTGTCAACAATTTGGTACACTCTTTATTTCAAAGCGTACAGGTCACCATAGGAAACCGTCTAATTTCTGACTGCACTACTCACTATGCCTACCGCGCATATCTGGAGACGTTGTTGGGTTGTACAACGGAAACAATGAATACTAATCTAACCACTGGAGGCTTTTATTTGGACACGTCTGGATATCTCAACTCACCGGTGAACAACAATGGCGCGCAGCGAAGAAAAGACCTGTTTACCAATAACGGGTGGGTTGAACTATCTGGACGGCTGTTTACCGATATAACGATGCAAGACAAACCTCTTTTGCCGGGCGTAAGCATGGGAATCAAATTTATCATGAGTAAACCTGAATTTCATTTGCAAACCTATGCTGCTCCTACCGGCGATAAGACCACTGCAACCCAAGGAACGCCGGAATACGAGTATCGGACGTTTCTACGAAATCCGTGCTTATACTTGAAACGCTATATACCTACTCCGGACTATCTCACAGCCATTACACAAATGTTGGGAACAAAAACGGCCAAATATCACATTGAACGAACACTGATGCGGGTGCACGATATAACAAAAAGCACTCAGTCTACGGTTGTGGCCAACCTCCATATCGGACAAGTGAGTACAATTAAAACAAAGTCGGTAATTTCGTATAAGACAAATGGGTGTTGCAGATTCCCAAAGTTATGTTTATTGGCTTTGTTTCTAACGCTTCTTTTCATGGATCGCAAGATAAGAATCCCTTCAATTTCGAAAATTTCTCAATCACGGCTATTGCCGTGGAAGTGGACGGACAGAGCTATCCAGCAAAACCGTATCAACCGGACTTTGTTAATGGACGCTCGCTAGAATGCTACAATGGACTAATGGACACACTAGGAAGAAAAAACAGTAGCTATGGTCATATGCCATTCAGTCGCATCGGATATCAGCAAGGTTTTACCATATTTGGCTTTGACCTTACCCCTGAACACACTGGAAGAGTAAGCATGAAAACGTACTGTTTCCAAAGCGTTAGTTAAAGATTCTGTGTTTATTAAGGGCGCAATGACGCTGATACGGCAAGGAAACTTGGCCGTTCGTGTGGCTTTTGCCAAGCCACTATCTGATACGGTGATGATGTGCACTATGCTGGTAATGGATAATTTGGTGGAATTTAACCAGCATCGCAATTTAATTGCCGGTAAGATTGAGCAACTGTGAAAAATGACAACGTGTCATGCACTTTTGTTTTTGTCCCAGATTTTACATCATGAACACATCCGAACTGCGGAGTGCTCTCAGCAGCAACTGGATTACTGCCCAGGGCTTCAAAGGTGTTTTTGCCGCGGATACTTTGCCCGAAAGAACGGCATCGGACCTGCCGGCTTCCTATGTGTGCAATACTGATGGGAAATCGCTACCGGGAACCCACTGGATTGGGTTTTATCAAGAAAACTCTGATGTTTTAGAAGTGTTTGATTCTTTTGGATCAAAGTTAGCATCTTATCACGAGAATATTCGCAAGTTTTGTTCCAATATTAATATTCTTCAGCAACCATTGCAGTTACAATCATTTTTATCAGCAACATGCGGACAAATGGTTCTTTTTTTTATACTAAGGCGAGCAAATGGTGAATCATTTAGCCAAATTATGCAATTATTTACTAATAACACAGAAGCCAACGACATTATGGTCTGCCAATACGTTAATCATTATTTTAAAATAAGCACAAGCATCCACGATACCGACATGTTGGTCCAAAGAGCAATAAAAATGCTATAAAAAGAAAACGTTTGTCAGATTTTGTCCAGTAAAAGTTAGCAAAGAAAATAAACTCACCAAGAATAGCGGAATTATAAGGACCCAGGAAGGCGGAATCTGTAAGACAAACACAAACTTTGTTGGTGCCTTGCACGAATAAAGAAAGTGATGTCTTACCAAAAGAAGGGAAAATTAGCATCGTCGGAGCCGGCATCCGAAGCCGATGGAGACTCTGCGGTCTCAGCCGTTGCTGGTGTTGGCGCCGGCACTTCCTTCTTGCGTTTCTTGATGGTGACTTCCTTCGGTGGTTCGCGAGCCCATTTTGGCAGCTCCCCCACAAATGCGTTTTGCGGCACGACCGGAGCCGGAGTGTCCACAACCAATTTCGGTCCCGCCAGGTCCTTCTTACCAAATTCAATGGCTGCTTCCCAGAGACGCGGTGCCGATTTTTCCAAGTAATTGGCCACATCAAAGCGCATGCAATCTAAGAAGCTGGTCGCTTCACCAAACGGCTTCAACAACAGCAACATACCTTGCAGTTTCTTCTCAAATTCCAAGTCACGAACAATTTGGCTTTTCGTTTCTTCGGTCAAACTCAACGTCTTCTCGCCGTACTGGCATGTGTGGGAACCTTCACGATGGACCGGTTCACGGCACAAGAGGCGCAGTTGGGCGCAACGGGGGCACTTTTGCTGTTCGCTGTTGGTAAACATGTGCCACAGGATGAATGGCAGGGTGGTTTCCAGTTCCAGCATGTTGGCAGTGACCAGAGGCAAAACCTGATCCAGGTCCTTGTTGCGCTTCGTTTCCCAGACGGTCTTGACCAGCTCCAACAAATCGCCATTCTTCAACAGCGTACGAAAGGCTTCGTATGTCGTCATCGCCATGGTGACACCCTGCGGGTCAGGATAGTAGTCACCATTAGTCAGCTTGTTGAACTTACGAACATTGGCGCACGGGGCTTCGTTGTATTCACTCCACAAAAAAGACATCTTCTCCGAGCTGGTGCAGCGGACTCAAACGATTCAGGGCGTCCTTGTTACGCGAATCCCGCACATAGTCCACATACCCGTTGTAGATCAGGCCGGCCAGACGCGTAAACTGGGCGTTGGACAGCTTGATGGACTTGCCACTGCGCGTCCACTCCCCTGGCTTTTTCTCGTCAAATTCTCCCAAGACGAATTCTAGCTCATGGCGCGTTTCGGCATCCAGGCAGACAGCCAAAAACTTTTGACCAGCAATCTTACACACAGGCCATTCACCGAACATGAAGGCCTCTTTCCACGACGAAAGTTGGCAAACTTGGGATTAGGAGTCCAGTTGCGAGACATTTTCTAGCGCAAACCAAAACATCCACTAAAAAAAGTAGCAAGTGAAACAAACAACGGCGTTCAGCACTACCTTTTATACGGCCCTGGTAGGCGGTGCCTGTGTCGGCTGCTGCTGTCATCCAATTAGCGCGCAATTCTGCTGTGATGCAACACGGTTTATGTAAATTTATACAGAAAACGTGCCAATCACAGAAGAAGTGTGCCGCAGCCGCCGTCGCCGCCGCCGCCACCAAAGAACGCTATTCAATGCAAATTTCAGCGTCAGTGAAGCGACGCGGATCCTATAAATAATTTGAAAAAACAACACGTATTGTCTTACCATAAACGCCGTAATGGCCTCCGAAGAAAGTAGCTTTGTCTTACTGGCGGAAGACAACATGATGGAATATTATCAATGCGCCGATGAGAAGGAGGCGTCAATCAAGAGCGTGGATTCCCGTTATCCTAATACCGTAGCGAACCGGGAAGCTACTTTTCGGGGATGCTCTGTCAACATTCCCCTGCGCCGTTGGATGGCCATGAACAACTTTTACTGCAGCGGAATCGACCACACCATCCTGTGTTTCCAGTGCGACCGCATGGTAGCCTGCTGTGACAACCCAGAGACACTGGATCACGTTGCGTTAGCCACCGGACACAAAGCGTGCCTATATAATCGCATGCATAACCTTACTGGTTTATCAACGGATAAAGGCTTTCTGGACCAGCTGGAGTTTTTCCCCACCGATCCTCGCCATTTCCAGAAAGAATACAGCACTTTACAGTCGCGGGTGGAAAGCTTTTTGAGCCGATGGCCGAAAAAGTTGGAAATTTATTCGCTAGTTTTAGCGGATGCCGGTTTCGTAAACATTGGCCTTCATCCACTGGGTAAGTCAGTAACTTGGGAAGCAACGGCGGGGGCCCCTAGTGACCTCCACAAGCCACACTGCATAAACCCCCCAACCCACTAAGGCAGGGGACCGGCGCGCTGCGCGCGCCGCGGTCCCCTGTCTTAGTGGTGCGTGCCTGTTGTCTTTGCAGGAGCTTCGCCGCCACTGGCCAGTCAACGTGTATGGATGGTGCAGTGCTTCTGCTGCGGCCTGGAGATGTCGTGGAGCGAAAAGGAACTGCACAGCCCATTGATTCAGCACATTCAACGGCAACCCGATTGTCCCTTTGTTCTGAACACTTTCGGCCAGCGCTTTGTTCACAACGTACTGATGCGGAAAAGCAGCGGCAAAGCAATGGCTGCCGGTGGCGGTTTAGCGGGTGAGAACATGGAAAAACAATCGGTTTGCCGCTTGACTAACCGTGTGTTTTCCGTTTTCTCAAGGTTCACGCACGCTCACTCAGTGGATCGTTGGCGGAGAACGTGCCACGAGTGCGGCGGCAAACGGCGTCACAAAGTCTTTGGTGAAAACGGTCTTACGCAACAATACCACTAAGATTGTCTACCGGGAACAATTGGAAACCGCAGTCAATGAATGGCAGATGTATGAAGGCGCCAAAGCGGTCCGCTTGACGGACGCCCAATCAGCCCGCCTACCGGAAGAAGTGACTACCCTACAAAACATGGTCGGCTGTACGGTGTGCAAGAATCGTCTACGAGTAGTTGTTTTCCAGCCCTGTCAGCATTTTGCTACTTGTCACGAATGTTCACTGTCTCTGCGTGATAATTGCCCCGTTTGTCGTCGCCCCATTAAGGATCGTTTGAATGTGTTTTTTGTTTAACTATGGCTGCTCCTCGTAATCAAGCGTTTGATTTGTTTGATGTCATGCAAACAGGTACTGGCTTCTCGAATGCTGCGAAGATCTTAATAAATTTTCTTTAATTATAGCTTCCGCTATGCACCGCACCAATCTGAAATACGATTTGGCAGTAAGGGGTTACATCTTCACTAATGACTGCGCGAAACTGAACCTCTCGTACGGCATGCTGTATCCGTTTAACGGACAAGAATTTGCGTACAAACGGGACCGGCAGGCGGTTATTGCTTTCTACACCAACGGTCCAGTCAACAGCGTCGCTCTGACCAATACGCGCGGCACCAACCGTGAAGGGTTTTTCGTCACCGATCTGGAGACGCTTGCCCAGTGCATTGACCGCCTGCAGGCTTACGGTGGAATTTATCCGAGTACCTTGTACAACAGCAAGAGCCGCTTGAATATTCGCGGCTTTGAAGAAAGAGGGTGGGTCCAGATGGCCGCAGAAATCTGGATTCGTGCATACCGCGATCGCTCCACCAACCAGCCAATCATGGAATTTAAGACACACAGCACCACACAACTGGATCCCAGTGGTTGGGTTCGCTTTGCAGTCGACCATTCTCTACCGTTTCTGATGCAAGTTCGCTTTGAGCATTTGCCGTTAGCCTGCAGCTATCTCCGTATGCAGCGCTGCCATGGACCCTGAACCAGCGCCCATTGAAGATTTCATCACCGTCACCCCGCGAGGCTCTTCTTATTCGCCGTCTACAGAGTCTACAGAGTGCCGATAATTTTTGCTTAGATAAAAGTTTTGAAATATTGCTGCAACATTCCGAAGTGGCTAATGGGGGAATGTGCTTGATAACGGAAAAAATGTCGAAATTATTAAGAAAACAGATTGAAAGGAAGCGTTGCGTGGTGCATATCCGTAATCATGACCAGCTCTGTATGGCACGTGCACTCTGCGTGGCCAAAGCTTTAGCTGACGATAAAATCACATTATATAACCGCTTACGCAAAGCGCGGCATACGGCTGGCAACAATGATGCTCAGGCAAAACACGCGCGTAAACTAATTCAAAAAGCTGGGCTTCCAGAACGCCGTTACGCCATCAGCGATCTGACGGAATTTTCAGCCGTTTTACCTGGTTACACTATCATTGTGGTCGGCGTTGAACAGCTCAATAGCATTGTTTACACTTCCGGCTATGAGGCGGGGCTCAAGCCGCTAATCTTGTTACATCATAATGAGCATTTTGATGTGCTCACCAGCTTGCCAGCGTGGTATTCAAAAAGTTACTGGTGCTTCTTTTGCAATAAGGGTTATGAGAAACGGCACCAGCATCGGTGTGAGTCCACTTGCCAACTTTGTTTGCGTCAGGACTGCTTTGCCTGCCTTGATGATCCCCGCAAATGCGACGGATGCAACCGCACATTCAGTGGAGCATCGTGTTTCGAAGCCCATAAGCGCCTGGGCATTTGCGAAAAGGTTTTCATTTGTTCAGAGTGTGACCGCTTTGTCTCTTTGGCTAACCGAAAACCCGACAATCCTCACCAGTGCGGTGAAATATACTGCAGCACCTGCCTGCTGCACGTACTGCCGCTCAACCATGTCTGCTACATGAAACCGGAAGTTGTGAGCGAGCGGGAGAAGCAGCTGCAGCGCCAGGCAAAATTTCTGTACTTTGACTTTGAAACTTACTACTGTTCTATAACTAATCGGTTCATCCCCAACCTCGCTGTGGTACAAGACGACGAAGGCAATACAACGATATTTCCGGAAGAACCGGAAGCGATAGGTGCAACGGATATCACCGCCGATTTATGCGAGTTTTTGTTTGACGAATGCCACGAAAACCACTACATCATTGCGCACAATTTTCGGTAAGCTTCCTGCACATTATTCGTGGCATGTCTTAACTCTCTCTCTTTTACAGGAGTTTTGACGGCTATTTTATCCTCAATTATCTACTGCGCAACGGTATGGTCCCCAAAACTACGTTCAAAGGATGCCACTTTTGCAGATGGACATTCCCCGCCTCAAAATCCGGTTTCGAGACTCGCTAAACTATGTTCCCATGAGCCTCGATGCTTGGGCTCGCTCTTTTGGCGTGCCGCAAGAGAAGGGGAAAATTTCCTCATCAACTGAACCAAAAGGATAACTGGGGTGAGATCATACCGTTCCCCGACCGCGAATTGTACGGATACTCGGAAATGTTGAAGAAAGATCGAAAAAGTTTCATGAAATTTTACCGCAAAGACCGACGCAAAAAGAAAAATCAGTTCAATTTTAATGAGGAATTTATCGCTTACTGTGTACAAGACGTACAAGTTCTACGCCTGTGCTGCCAGCAGCTCCGTGCTTTATTCGGAGAAATAACTGATGGTCTGTGTCCATTTTCCTCGGCTCTAACCATTGCGGGGATGTGTAGCTTCTTTTGGCGGTGCCGGTTACTCCCCGAAAACTTGATAACTCTTATCCCACCGCAAGGGTATCAGCCCGCCAAGAGGCAAACCAAGAAGGCTCTCCAATGGCTAGCTTCCATTGAAGAAGACAATGCCATTGAGTTGGAGAGGGAATACAAGTGGGGCCGCTTCTATTTGGATGCCTACTGCGCTGTGACACATACGGCATACGAATTTTTTGAATGCTTCTGGCACGGTAAGTTGTTTTTTCGTAATTCCCGATTACTCCGCATTTCTTTTGCTGTTGCACAGGCTGCAAGATACACACCGTTCCCGACTCCCAGCACCCTTTGATCGGCATCACTATGGACGCACTATATCAGCAGACTGCGCGACGCGTAGCCGCTTTGGAACGGATGGGTCTTACGGTCGTGACCTGCTGGGAACATGAGTTCGACCAGCGGCTACGAGAAGACCTGCTTTTCGCAGAGTTTGTCTCAGCTGTCCCCTTTAAGGAGCCGCTGAATCCTCGGCATGCATTTTATGGAGGTGTGCGAGAAAAATTTGTTAAACTGCTTGCATACAACGGATTTTATTTAGGACGGACGAACGCAACAATTCTGTACCAAAAAGTGGTGGATACGGACACAATCGAGTAAAGAAAATATTCAGTTCAAAAAAAAAATGGTTCTAACCTCACTCTTATTGTTGCAGATACGTGGACTTTATTAGTTTGTATCCAAGGTATTATATTTTTATGCCCAAACATGCAACAAAAACAGTACCTCCGTTTCAGCGTGAATAAGTATACCAGGAATAAGCGTGAATAAGACTACCAGGAAAGCCAGGAAAGGCTTTTTTGCCGATTACATAGATGTTTTTTTAAAGTTAAAAACTGAAGCCAGTGGCTTCCCCGGCTCCTGTTAAAACACCGGAAGAGAAGCAGCAGTACATCCGGGATTTTGCTGAAAAAGAAGGCATTTGGCTGGAAATGGATAAAATCGAAAAGAATCCGGGCATGCGTACCTTTGCCAAACTTTGTCTAAATAGGTCTGGTCATGTTGTTTTTAAATTTTTTCCTACGCAAACAGAATATTTCCGCAGTTTTTGGGGACGCCTCGGCATGCAGGACGAGCGGACTAGTACCGCTTTCGTTAAGGATATTACGGAATTCCATCATTATCTTCTCTCTGGAAAATACGAGGTTAAAATTGTTCTAGTGGTACGAAATTTTGTTTACATTTTGATTATTCTAGGTGAAAACCATCGATTTATTTTCCGAAGATGTTCTCCAGCTAACTTACTCTGTTAAGCAAGAATACCTAACCACAAATAAGAAAACAAATGTCGTTTTGGCTGCCTTTACCACCGCTTGGGCGCGACTACAACTGCTGGAGGCTATGACTGCGGTGCAGGAAGAACTGATTTATTTCGATACCGGTACATAATCTATTATATCTGTGTTTCATTAGTAAACAAAGCTTTTTTCAGATTTTATCATTTATACAGCACGCCAAGGAAAGCCCATGCTTCCCACTGGCAGCTGTTTAGGACAACTATCCAGTGAAATGAAACCTGGCCAGTTTATCAAAGAAATTGTTTGTTTGGGACCAAAATGTTATTCCTATATTACGAATGACGAAAAGCAAGTCGTTAAAGTAAAAGGATTCTCTTTGAACGGACGGTCAAAGAAGGATTTAAATTTTGAAAATTTCTGCAAACTTCTACACGCTCCTAACGAGCACCTGGAGGTGCACTATCCTTTTACTTTTAAAAAAGATAAAAAAGAATTAGAAATTCGAATTACTGAATTGTCTAAGCGCTTGCGTCTCGTTTACGACAAGCGTCGGATTGTAGGTGACTATCATACTTTGCCGTCTGGGCATAAGGAATAAACTTACTTGTATTATTGAAGTTCTGTAATGGTGATGGAGTCTAAAGATGTTAATAACAGGAATCCGCACAAAATGACTACTAACAGTAAGCACACGTTTGTGTTGATCTTCACACGAGTTTCCATGACGCTGGGCTTAATAAGGACTGCACCTGAAACACACTTGCTTCCACTTGCTTAAATAGTTGCTTACAAATCTCCCGCTTACTTTTTTGTAATTTCTTTCCAAAGCCGCTCCAAGGTACAGCCCAGTTAAACAGTCAAAGCGGATAAGCTTTAAATGCATAGTTGGGCTGCACCTTGGAGAAGACCAACAAAGAATCCAAAGAACGTCAAACATTATCCAAATTGCCCATTAAGATTGCCCCCACTTGCAATTGATCAATGAACCAAGAGTTCCGTGGTGCAGCTCACTATCATACACTGCTGCCCAAGATGAAGCTCAACTAAACATCCAAAGCTGATTAGCTTTGGTTGCGATAGTTGCGCCGCATCATTGAGGTTGAACTTACAGCAATTTATCGACAAAGATTTCACTTAGTTGCTGCAAAGGAGCCACTCCGAGGTGAAACTCAACTAAACAATCACAATTGATAGACTTTGATTGCATTAGTTGCGTTGCACCGCTGAGAGTCTCAATGGTTCTTCTGAGTGATAGTAGAATGATCGCAGCACATTGAAGCTTACCGTTAATTACTCTTGATCCATGAGCGCATAGCCCGCGGCGCAGCACAAATAAATCGAAAAAATTGAAACAATTTTCCCAACATTACTTGCGATGCGCCGCTGAGAGCGGCTCTATATTTCTTGTACTCAATTACTTGGTTGATTTGTAGACGGCTGCATTGAAAAGATTTACTTGCTGTACTGCAAATATAATTACTACACATTTTCTTAATCAAAGCGTAAAGCAGAGCAGTTACATCGAGATAGGTTAAACACAATACGAAAAGCATCATGCAAAGCAGTTGCGTGGCTCTTAACATGTAAAAGATTGCACATAAACACCACAGCAGTGTTAAGCATTCATTAAAGCGCATGCGAATTCCCGCTCGGCTTTACTCGCTGTCGAAGCCACCAACGTTCCATCCATCGTCCTCCAAGACAGGCAGTTCCTTGACGTGATCCGTCTCCCATGCCTCCATCAGAGACAGGCTAGTGAACCGTCCCACAGCCATCATGGTGTCGTTGATGACTGCGTAGCCCTCCACTTTGAAATTGCAGACCCCGGTTTGTGAACGCTTTGGCAGCACCGTAATCGGACCATCCAGGGGTCGGATGAGCCTCTGCAGGTTTGGATCCCTCTGGTCCAGTACTTCTGTGGTACGGATAGCGTAACGGCCCTCCCATGCCACCAATACCATATAGCGCCCATCACGCTTCACGCGCCTTAGCTCCTTGCACGCATAGTCGAACTTGATCGGTGCGTGAACTTGGTTAATGACCCGCTGAAACATTGAGAAACTCTTAGTATATAAAAACTGAAACAATGAAGACTGCATACCCACCTTGCGGCGTTTTACGATGATACTTGTTTCAGGGTCTTCCGAATCATCGCGTCGGCGCGCACGGATGTTTCCGCGTTCCGGGACCACACCACTTCCGGACGCAACCGCCTGGTCGGGCGCATGCACCACAGCTTCACCCTAATAAACAAATTCAATTATCTAATTTTTTTTAGCATAAAATGCAGCGAAACCTACAGCGGCTTTCGCTCCAATAGCATTCAACGCTACTGCGCCGCCCACAGCCAGTTCGTCTCCAGGTCCAGCCTCCTGTTCGACCTGGCCTGGCGCTGGTTGACTTGCTGCTGCTTGGTTTCCAGGCGCGTCGGGCACATCCTGTGAAACAAGAGAATCGCTAAGTATATAAATGCAACGACTCTGCAAGGAGCCAATGCTTACCTCAACCACTGCGTCTACCAACGCATTAAGTGCTTCCGCCACCGCTGGCTCAGCGCCATTGATACCTGGAAAACAAAGAACAATGTACACTAAATGACCGAGTAAAATTTTCCACTATTGTACCGATATCTCTTCTAACTTACACCTATTGTACCGATATCTCTTCTAACATTAACTACAGTATTCTATATTTTCGTTAATTTATATGAAAAGCAATGGAGAGAGGGGGTCAGAGAAAGAGGGGAGGGGGGGGGAGCGAGGTGGGTCACAGGGAGGGGGCCAAGGAAGAAGCGGTGTGGTGTGGTGACGTGACTCGAAGCAATCCGTTCGTGGGAGGTCAGTCAGATCCATGGCGCACAGATCACCCAGCCACGGTAGCGGTTGTTGAGGTGAACGGCCGACATCACCAGTCAGGACAATGACAAGGGGGCGCCGGATGTGGAGGGCTGTTTATCCTGTCCCGGTTCCCGCACTCGAGGTGTCAGTCAACCGGTAGAATGAAACTGTACAAACTCCATATCTTCATTCAGTAGTCACCTGCAAGTAATGCATCACGGGTGTACAAGTTTTTTTTTATACAATTTACTGTCTGTACAAGTACGTACGATATGTAAACAAATTCATATTTTTGAAGTCGGCAGTCACTTTAGGCTAACTACAAAATCAAACAAAAATAAAACCGTTACAAATATTGGAACATTTCGCATGAGGAAAATGCCCCGTATTTAATGCTCCTCTATGTGTATCGTATTACACGCAACATGCACCAAAAGGCAGAACGTATAATAAAATAAATGGTCCATAAAAATGCCGGCGTTATTTTATCGGAACAGTTTGGATATTAGCATTTCGCGTTATTATTATGAGAACAGCTGAGATATTCTTTAGTTTGAAGAACGATTTCTAAAAGTTAATCCAACTCCATATTTCTTCATCAGTAACAACGTGGTTAAAGTAAACCAGGTTAGCAGTAAAAAATCCAAAAGAGCAAAATTTTGATGTAATTTTCGTACCTCATGGCAATGTTTGATAATATGATGCATCTCTTCCACTTCCTCCCGCGTTAGGGTTTTAATAATAAAACGCTAATCGCCCGTGATAGTACGTTGATACACTATCCTCCTTCATGACCGGCTCAGATCCAGTAAGGGACAGCTGCATACACAAGACGGCAACCGTTAGTCGCACAGGAAATCCCATTGACATCCAGGGACGCAGCATACTTTACCATGTATTGACTGTCCGTGTCGCGGAAACGCTCCCGCAAATTACGAAATACCAACGGACAGTATTCCTTAACTTTGGAGTGACTGGGCATGTTATCCCTAAAATCAGATGAGTAAACAATGAAAAACCAAACGCATAACGCAGCACGCATACCACACTACGCTATCAAGAATGTATGCATTTTACCACAACATCAAAATTAGCAGAACAAAAGGAACGATTTTCTTCGCAAGTTTTTTGATTTAGTAGCAAGTTTAAAATTAAAGTACGTTAAAAGTTGACCAAAATTCTGGCTATAGTTCTGCAACCCTATCACTGTTGTAGATACCGACATATAAGTCATATCAAAATCTTTCTTAACGGAATTCCATGTGCGTAAAGCAATGCAAGATTATCGGCAAAGCGGAAATTTCCAATTATCTGGCCAACACGTACCAGCAGCGCAAGAGGGAAATAAAGAGTTTTCTAATTCTAATTTCCATAACGGCCACAGCACCATGTGAAAAATGGCATAAACGACTTTCGTCAGCCGCAGTCTCCGCGGGGACAGTTGACGGACAAGGCAACTTGATTAAGAAGTAAAATACTTGCCGGCTTTACTCTCTACTTCCGCATAATCCCCACTTCGTTGGGGTTCCGACGACAAAATGTATAACTATGCGGAATGGGAATTCGGGCTTCAGACCGGAAACATTACAGCCCCACTTACTTGTTAAAGTACTGTCGATCAATTTTGATTTTTCGTTGGCATTGAAATCATCCGGCATCAGCATCGGCGGAGTATTCACATGGGTCAATTCATTAATCTGCAGCCATTCGACAAACATATACGAAATTTCGTAATAACAACGTCTCGCAGCACCAAGTTATGCAAACATGAACGTAAAAATTTTACTCGTTAAAGTTAAAACGAAAAAAACATGTTCGCAACTCGTTATGGACAATCGTTTAACCCAAATAAATAACCGTGAAAAAACATGCCGCTGATCACATTTTAACAAAATTTCACTGAAGGAGGCAACCAACCTGCAGATCGCGACATGTGGTACCAAACAGGCTATCCGTGAAATTAAAACCCGTTGAGCAGACCACATCCCGGTGACAGTCGATTGCCCTCACAGCATCTCTGCGCCCAACATCCCATACGATTCCCTAAAAGGTCAAAACAGTACAGCCTTATTTTTGCATCAGTAAAGTACCATGTACATTACGAACAACAGCAAGTCGTTCACGTGTAATTCCGGTCCGTGCAAATTGTTTGCTTTTACCTGCACGCACTCATGCATTCATGCTGCTTGACTACAGACCCGCACATTTGCACTCAACCATGAATCACCACCGGCTGGTTACAGAATGTGCTCCGCGATTGGATGTCGTTCTTATTGTAACATCCGATTAGAAATATACTAGTGCATGTGCGTTGGCTTCTTGTATGTGTTCGAATCACGCATACACCTATACAAGTAGCACTGGTTAGCCAATGGCAATTGCGAAAGCGCTTTAGCGGTATAGATGTATGCGTGCTTTCTGCACATACCAGTAGCTAACGCACATGGACTAATGGATACAGCAGTGTTGTACAAGTAGCACTCACTTTGAAAAATCTTTAGCCGAAAAAATATATCGTTCAATCTTTCCCAATTAGCCGCAGTCACTGACTAACCTGTGCGACGCACACGCATTTCTCTGACACCTCCATCCGGAATATGCCATATTTTCACCCATGACTGTCTTAGTCCTGCGTAACGTGTAAACCCGATGTCCAGTTTTCCAGGTGCACATACGCGAAGCAGGCTGCGGTAGACCGATGGACTGGTGACATAATCCACGGGAAGACCTTTGCCCCGACACGTCCAGGCAGAATCCGCACTCCCGCTGCCCAGAGGCAGCCGGGTTGTACCAGGCCGGCATAACAGGTGGGCGTTGCAGCATTCGCACAACGTATTTGGTAATCGTTGCAGCGCATTTCATATTTTATTTTACAAAAGTAATAAAAATTTAATTCAGTTCTATATACAGATTTTCAATAAATAATTCTAGTAAATAATTCGGAAGTTTAATTAATTTAAAAAAATTCTTAACATAACAAAATCTTTATTAATAAACATTTTATATTCCAATGGTGCTTCGTTTAATTATCACATAATGCTAATTTAATTAAGTCTCACCTTGAATAGTATCAGCCATAATATCCGACGTTAGAAGGATTTCCGCTTGATGAAAATAATTTCGATGAAAATAATTTCGACTGCGATTCTTCGTAGTAACTGACTGAAAATTGGCGTTGTGTGTGTAGCAGTTTGAAATGACAAAGTGATAAGCCTGCAGTGAGTTTTAAGCTGGTGCTTGCTGCACATCCGCCTTCTCTTCCCCAACATCACAATGAATATAAATATTAATGTAACTGTTTTTGACACAATTTTCAAAGAGACCGCCAAAAGTGAAGCCGTCCGGAAGCACTGAACTGTATCTTGCATGGCCAGATGGTATGTTACACTTTTTTACTGTTTTGCGGCATATTAATCAGCCGGTACAGCCGCTGTAAGCGCAGCATAGATGGCGAAGAAATGTGTGGAATTGCGCTATTACAAAGATATTATTATTTAATTAAATGTCGTTTTTGACATTAGTGTAGTAATATATGTATTTTAGGTTGCTGATACCTAGTTGACAAATCTACGATTACAGTGAGGTTTTTTGAAAATAAACTATAAATTACTTTACAAGAATATTAATTTTTGTTTATTACAGTGTGCCACTAATTACGAACGCTATAATTATTAGGTTCTTGTGTATGTCAGCCGGTAATTCATGCCGGCTATCGACAGAACAAAGGTCACGGCAGCCGGTTCCCACGGGGTCACACCGTGGGAAAAGCGCCTATACAGCCGTCTATAGTAGTGAAAAGTATAAGCTGCCCACGAAATGGACACTCATAGGATTCAGTTAAAAGCACAGCAAAACTAAGTTTTAAATTTTCCTTTCGTGCATACCGTAATATTTCGTGCACTTTACTCTGATATGCCTATACGGATGTACAAAATTGCAAACAAGTTGCAAATTTAGAACCACCGTGTAGCTGCTGCTGCTGTATTTTCACGTGGTGTAGCCGGTAAAAGTGTTCAGCTGCGAAATCTACCTGCTTCAAATTTGTTAGCCCATCCCGAGAAAGATTATTACTCGAAAGGTAAGGCTTTTGTTTATGACTGCAAATTGTTTGCGACTTACGCAGAAAACAGGTCAGACGCTGTGTGCTACGGGCCGAGCAATACGCACGTACGTGATTTGTACATCATCCGAAAAATCAAAAATTCTCTGAATAGTCTCACGGACGTCGTTGATTTCGTGGCCAACGTAGCCATGAAGTGTCCGTCCGACAAGGTGATGGGCGTGCAATGCCGCATGTCCGATGGGTATTTGAAAGTCACCATGTCCTATCACGTGTTCAGCGGCCAGTCCCGAGAGACGCTGGAGATGCAGCTGTGGGATATATTCGAGAAGAATCTCGTTCTGGCGAAGCCGGTGGATGGAGCGGCCTTGGCGAAAATGATTGCTGCATCCGATCGTGAAACTAATAACAGCCGCAGGATTCTTCTAGTAGGTTGTGCTCATTGCATTTCAGTATAGATCCTAATTGGGACCGCTGACGAATGTGTAGGGTTTGCAAGGCTATCAAAGCGATGATCCGCGCCCCACCACGCACTACCGCGACCGAGTGTGGACGCTAGCCCACCTCGGCGACGTGGATGTCACTAAGCTGACCTTTCTGACTGCAGCGTTTTTGGCCAAACACTGCTCTTCTCCATCCTGCATTGATTAGTACTGATTCTTTAGCGAGCGTTCTTGTTGTGTTTGGTATCCAATTTTAGCAGGTGGATTTAAATCGTGCCTGTTTGTTTACAGTTTACAGTATGAAAAGAAATGCAACGTGTCTGATGTCTGATGCTTGTCCGTGCCTAACACATGCTTGATTTACTTGTACCGTACATTAGTCGTACTTATGAGTAACAACAACAGAAAGATACGCGACGACGATGCAGGGAAACTCTTACTGCACTTCAGTTACCTATATGTATACTTTAAAGATGGACAGCAAACTGACTGTATAGCTGCACCCTAGAATGGCCTAGATGTGGCTGAAAGGACTGGGAACCGACTGTGCAACAACGGTCGGCTTGTTCATCACTACTGCATGCAGGAATCACTGCTGGGCTATTGCTTACCATAGTTGCACAGATTCTGTTGTCGCATTTAGAAGATGTTCTCAGGTTCCTATCTCATCAATAGCGATCTGGTATTTTTCCAGATCATATAGAACATAGAAACCCATATTTTGGGGCACGCTACTGCTCTTCTATGTAGGCAAGACTGCTAGAGTGATCACGTCAAACGTTAGGTTACCAGTCCTTTCCTGCTAATGATACGTGACCACTGACCATATCGACTGTTCCCCATGTGGGCGTCAGCACGCGCTAAAGAAACTTTTAATTATTCCACGCTCACTTTACAGTTGCACAAGTTCACGCACACTGTAACTTAACCGAAGTTCAACAACAACCTCTGATCGGCACTTAACGCAACGCCAAGCGTTAGACAGTGGACATTGTGGAAATTGGAATGCATAAGAGGGATTTTGAAAGAGAGGAGTGGACGGGCAAGTGCCTTCGCTAGATACGCCGCCAACTGTGTTTTCCGAACTCCGAGCCGTTACGTACACCTGGGTCAAGCCGAACGCCGTCCACTTTCACCCGCGGTAGAGTGAGCTGGGACGAGGACGGGGACTCTAGAACGTGTTCATTGCGTCTACTCAAAAAGCCTAACGCTGTCTCTGCACATCCACCCGCTAAGCGGTCGCGAAAGATCTGCTGCGCGACCGCGATCAACTGGTTGCAGATAGGGTTGTCATCACACGTTATCACAATCATGCCGACTTGGGATAACAGGATGTGTTGAGTGATGGGAATGCGAAGTGATGGGACGAATTTGAATTACACGAAAGGTCAAAATCCGGTATCCGGTCAAAAGCCTTACAGCGCATTACGCACATGCATTCCGTAAGGCGGTCCAGACGCACACGTAACCCGTCGACTCCGAACACCAGCTTGCTGCAGGCAGTCAGTAGTCGAATAAACCGTCGCACTCGTCTCAGGAGGCGATGTCGAGCCTGGTTTCGTTTGCTAATAAGTTGAACATTCTTACCATAAGCCGGTATCCGCAGTCTATTTTGAAATAAATCGGAAAAAAACAACCAAAGGGCTTACCAAATTCAAATAAATAAGCAATGCTTATTAAATTTTACTCTTGGAACTCCGAAAACAGTGATTTTACGTACGCACGTATGTGTAATTCCAAGGGAGTAACCGTTACCCTTTACAATTCTGAAGAGCTAGCGTACAGGTAGATAAAAAAACATAACACCAGTGATCGGTTCGTAATGTAATCAGAGAGAATGACACAATTTACCACAACCTTTACAAAACGATATTGATTGAATTCGATTACGGTCCAAACAGCTTCGGTCTAAAATTACACCCGAGCAGTGACATATGTCTGGCTGCTGCTGGTACTGCTGTTAGTGCTCTTGGAACTCTTGTCCCCAAGTATCCCTTGGAAGATAATAACGTACACCGCCTGCGATCCACACGCCACCGTCAGCAGCAAGACGAAGACGTACTGCAGCTTCGGTAGCGTGGAAAAGCAGGAAAAGAGCGCCAACCACACATACAACCAGATCAATCCCATCAGCCCGGTGTTGATCATTACTTGTCGAACTCGGTGCTTGACCCGATCGCCTGCATTCCTGCTACTGTCCTCGGGGATGGAAAACTGCTTCCCACGTTTCTTTTTTTCTAACAAGAAGCAGAGCATTGAAATGTTTAGGACGTCGTTATTGTGCGTTGCAGTCAACGCTAACTCACTTATTTCCTCGCGTACGTATAATATCACCACCGCCACATTCACCATACCTGCCGCGGATAAAGGTATGATAAAGGTCACCCAAGGAATCCAGGTTTGTTCCGCGTTCAACCAGCACCTGTTTTTTTTAAGAAGGCCTTGCGCGCGTTTTAGTGAAACATGTAAGTGATGTAACTATTATTCAATAAAATACTGTACCATTTTTCGTGATCTCCGTAACCGTAGCCTCCAAGAGAATGAATTGCGGTTTGATGATCAAAAAAATATGGCACAGAGGCCAGGAACGGAAACAAACCGGGGATAACTGCAAGACGATGTACGACTATATTAAACATAAATTTACGCATACATTTCAGAGTTCATAAACCTAATAAATTAAAAATATCTAAGAAACGTGAGAAAGCCTGAGAAGCTTAGAAAATTCCAGAAACCGGAAAACCCACTGAAGCCAAAGAAAAATAAGAAGTAAAAAATCTAGCAACATTTTTAACTCTAGAAAACATTCTGCGTTGTCAGTACAAAACAAAATTTTTTTTCTAAACTCGAACTTTTAGAGCACAGACCAAAACTTTGTGTAGTCAGACTGCTTTCAGCAGGAGCCGGCAAGCTGATCTCAGAAAACAAAAACGACAACTCACACGTTGCAGCCACCCAAGTTTTGATTCTGAATCCAACGTGCTTTTTGTCTCTGGTACTTTGTCTCTTCACATCGCGCTTAAACGGGAAAAGCAGGATTCGCAAGATATCAACCGTCTGCACTACGGTCCACCCAACGCTCATCAGTGTAAACCAGTGCACCAAAATTCCGTTGGCTAAACAGAATTGCTGTCCACACAGTTTGGGGGCGTAGACCATCAGTTGTGAGAAGATGGTGAAGAGGTACATGCCGAAGAGCGCTATCCACAACCCCATCCGAACAAAGTTGACGTCGTCGAAAACCACGAGTCCATGCCAGATTTTCACCCTAAGTGCAGCCAAACCTTAGAGTACAGTTTTAAACGGATTAAAATGGTGGCGCGTACATGATGATTATCAGAGCAAGGCCACAGCAGACCATCGCCACGAGGGTCGTCGCTGTGGTCACCACGGCTAAATCCAGCGTAAGCGGTTGATCCTTCGGGATGAAGGATCTGGATAGACTACCACACAGAGTCAGCAACAGCGAAAACGGCGTTAAATGGTCGCAGGTGCATTCCACGGTGGAGTTGTCCCATTGAACATGTTTAGCCGTCATTCGACAACCGTCTCCCGACCAGTGCTTGGACGTATAGTTCAGGAAGATGCACTGGTGTTGTCTTCTTGCTCCAGATGGGTGCTGCAAGCAAAGGCGTTTGCTGTAAGATTATAAAACAATTTACCTATATTTGACCGGTACTTTTGCTTACGTCAAACAGACTGTCCACATTGTGTCGAATGGTGATTATATCCTTTTTCTTGAGACTCACACCCAATGAGGCTAGTAAAACTATCGGACTTGACCTTTCGTTCAGTTCATTCGTGGGAACGAACCTGGCGAATTTGAATGACGGCATCGCCGACAAGGAAAAGGCAAACTTTACTGGTGTGGTATTCGCTGTTTGTTCTGTAAAAGGTCATTATCGTTGCGTTCGCAGTTTGCCCTGAAAACGGTTTGCTTCTTTACTGATGTAATTAAATCTTCCACTGGCTTTTAGCTACCAATAACTTACTTAATTCTTCGAAGGCTTCTTGAAGCGCGCTCGTTTTAAAACTAATACTAGCTACTGATGCGGTACTGTCGTCCGCGGCAGCTGTAATCCCCGTCTCTCGGCTGAACCCCCTAGTTTCCATTTTTGTCGTCAGATTAAAGTCTTCAAACTGGGAAGAACCGTTGATGAGCACAGCACTGACGTATGCCACAGATAAGGAGTTACTGAACACATATGGCTCTTCGTTCGGTGGTAGGCTGTTGTACATGTTTTCCAGTGCCTCGTAGATCGTCGCGGCTGCATCGTATCCATCGCTGCTAGTTGCCGGTGCTTCCAGTTTCCCGGTTTCTTCCGCGCTGAAAATCTGCCCAGTGATTTGCAATAGCGTGTCGACGGCATCTTTCTGTGCACCTTCAGGTAGATCTGCCGGTGTTCCTTCGTGAGAAAACGCTTGAAAGAAGCCGGCGGTGTCCAGAATATCGTTGAAATTTAGATGGAGAGAGTTATTCACAACAGCACTCTGAATTACGTTGAGCACGTTTTGTGGCGACTGGGTATAGTACGTAATGTTGTCCGGATACGAGTTCCGGTCGGTTTTCTGTAGTTCCACCGTAAGAGGGGACACGATTGTGGGAAAAACTACAGCAATCACAAGTCCTCTACGAATTGGGAAAAGTGGCTGCTCGTGTGCAGAAATGAATAGCCTATTTCAGATTGCACGGTTTGTGTTAGTTTCGGCTCCGGTTCCATGTGGAACCTTCGGTTCCGGGTTGTTTTACGTCCGTTTGCGACGTTAGCAGCTGTAACCTAGCATCGTGCGGTGACGCGTAAAAACTGTCTGGCTTAAGCGGATTCTTGCAACGGCTCAGACACATGAGTGAATGGCAGGCCAGCTTATGCTGCCAGTGGATCTTTTTTGAACACTCAGACCCCCGGACCGTTAGAAGGTTGGTCACGTCCTCGTGCGCACTCGACTCGAATAAGTAATTTTTTCGTTGCTCTACGTGACCAAAGTGTAACCGCACAAAGATCTGAAGCAGTCTTCATCCTGCCAACGTACTGCTTGTCTGAAGCCGTACTCTTTTATGTACGGAGCCTCTACCGTATGCAATCTGAAATAGGCTAATGCCTACTCGTAGATGATGTCGAGTATCTTGCTGTCTGCGGTGCAGTTGTGGCATCTGTCGTGGTGCTTGCTGTGGTGTGGGTTGATTCTGAGCAGTGCGCTAAAGAAAGACAACTAATGTATGCTTAATTCATATTTTTCGCCTTCTGGACAGTTATACAATACGAATTTGGGTACCGCACACTAGAGACGGTATTCTCTGCGTTGTTCCTCGTGAGTCGTGACAAAGCATAAAAATCTGTTGTACAATGATTAAGCGTCGTTTTTCTGCAGGCTTATACACGCGATTAATAAAAGATTTATCAAGACTTCTAAATTTGAACAGCGCAGAGGATTATGCACGTATCTGGTGTCTGGTATTCGAATTCATATTCTGAAACTTTCTGGAATGCGAAAATCGTCGAAATACCGTAGAGCAAGAGCAAGTTAACCAATACGAATTTTCGAAATGTACTAGCATGTAGAACATACATGAATCCCGGGTAATACGTTAATTATTATACTATTTAGCAGAAAGCAGCTTCTCAAGTATCGAAGTTTCACTAACTAGCTTCAATCCGGATGTTGTCCAGCGCGACAGTTTTCACACCGGGTTGATCAGATTGGCACTGACCAGAATGGTACGTTAGGAAGGTGAAACTAACAAGCTCAGACAAATGGAGAAGTTCGGCGTCGTCCCAATCCGGCGTATAAATGCCGCCCTCCGAGATATTCAATTCCACATAATGCCACTTATCCGGAGACTTACTGTGACTACTGAAGGTTTTCCCACAACCATGTCCCCTGTTACGGTGGAACTGCAGAAAGCAGCCGACCGGAACTCGTATCCGGACAACATTACGTAACTCCCGCCCACCCAAAATTCTCGCAAGACTCGCACATCTAGCATATTATCCAGTGTATCGTAATAATCGATGTACACATAGAGGAAGATTTCGCCGTAGGGACTAGTTATATTAGGTGCCCCGAGAGAATGGCGATACCAGTACGAAAGCACGATAGATCCTCCAGGTTCCTGATGAACTTTTGCCGTTGTCATTACCGCAGCCCGATCGAATACTGTAGCCTCCGAAGTTGAAATGTTGGAGTCTGGGTTAAAGGTACAAAGGGACACAGCAACCACGCCCCCTAGGGAGGAAAGGTGCCCTTTAAATAGCAAGTAACAAAATCGTTCTGACCAGCGCGTACAGTTTTCTCCATCGAAACCGCTGGGCTCTTCCGTTAAATCGAACTGGTAGAGACTGAAGCCACTATAAATGCCCGTATTGTTGTAGTTACGGCGGTACCACGTAAACCTAGTCGCCGGCTCTCGCGAGCATGCCAGTATGACGGCACTGGAATCGCCCAGCTGGTCTTCGGTTCCCATATCGCAGGACTGTGTGTAGTTATAGCATCCTGTTGGAAGCTCAGGTTCCGCTAACGCTTGTTCTTGACTGGATACCACTGGACGATGAAGGGAGACAACTGCAACGCCTAAAAGACTGAGCAGAGTAAGATACTGAGTAAAATTCAACAGAGAAAGCAGATCGTAAAGATGAGAAAAATGTCATTGTGAGCCTAAGCGTGCAGTAACGTGAATTAAGTTCACGTCGTAAACGACAGATAATCCACTGACAAAATAGCCATAAATGGCTGTACTCGATTGGATCGGCAAGATAGAACGGTCAATGTTAGGGCATTGCGGAAGACGAATGACGATAAAAGAAACGCGCAGATAAGAGTGATAATGACAATAATAAATGTCATAATAATATGTGGCAGCTGTCTGCTTCGTAAAGACAAGTACTGTAAGTGCTCGCAATAATTTTAACGAACTGCTTTTGATAATTATACTTTCAAGTTGTCTTTCACCGCCGCTGTAATGTGACAGTTTAGCCGAAGAATTTTTATTTTGACCAGCGTTTCGTTAATGAAATCGAAAACATACCGAAAAACAAGAGCGCCGGAGAAATGCAAAGATGGCGAACGCGCATGCCGGGATGCGTATCTAGCGGGAGGACAATATCCTCGAAAAAGCCAGATCAGAACTTTCCGAATTGCGCAGGACACACTAGAGTCATTTGTCGTAAAATCCCAGTGATCACTGGTCTTGTTTCGCGCAAATAAGCCGCAAACCAGGACAAATCTGCCCGTCATCTGCTAAAGAAAATTGATTTCGCATGTTTTATCAAGCCTAGCAAGTACCAGATAACCGCATCCAGATTATACAAATAATATTAAAATCAATAGCCACAGATAAATTTAGCAGTGGATAAATTTCATGCTTGCCCGAAGATTTCGAATTATCCCTGTTTCACACTAGCGAGTAGTCGCTGAGTAGCAAATCACTAGCTATGCACTTTCTATCGGTAAACTGCAGCCGAGTTGAGAATATGTTTCCAGTACCGATACGTAAGCAGTAATCATTATATCTTTCTTTCAAACACTGATAGCGTTATTAAATCTTCGGTCATAACTGATAAGCAATAAAAGCCGGAATAGCGATGTTTCTAACGTCTTTTATGTTGAGTTTTGATTCCTGGCTCTGTTCTGCGCACATTGCATCGCACTATTTTTGTGCCTTTGTTTAGGTGTATACAAGTAATACGCAATGTAATGTACATTAATAATTAAAGAAATGTGGAAATTTGTCCAGGTGCTGATAACAAAACGTGTACCGTATGTTTCCGGAGTTTCGCGTGTACTGCACTATCTACTTCAATAAGTTATTTCAACCGGATATTAAGCCTCCATGCAGATTAGGAAAGCAAACTCAAAATAACCAGCCCATTTGCAGTACATAACACAGAATTATCTGGCTCAGCAGCACGTTATTCCAACACAGATAATTCTGACGCTGTATGCAACAGCCTGGAATCTTGACATTATTGTCTTGCTGATAAGAATGTGCGTAAATCAAACACGACACGGCCGACTTAGAACTCTAGTGTTGGTACTTGGTAATATGATTATGGGCTGTGTTGAAAGCAGGAGATCTATAGATGCATCTTTTTATTCATATAGTATTGTTGGTAGTTATCGGAAGCGTGGCCAGATAGCATTTCAGAGGAACTGAAATTCAAATTTCATTTCAAAAGAGTAGGCCTGCACAACCCAGCCTATGACAGCGTCTACATGAAACTTCACAGTACCCCCTGGCCGCCGCTCTTATGGTAATACGATCCGGCTTGTGACACTCAACATGCAGAATGTATCTCTGTCTTTCGGAGTGTTCTGCGTGCTGCTCATAGCACATGCTTTTGCCGTACGATTCCAGCGGCAGTCGGACGATTACCGTCCCATTATTCAGTTGTTCCAATGGTCGTGGAAAGATGTCGCTCGCTTGTGTTCCGAGCATCTGCAAAGTGTATCCGGAATGGTGGTTTTGCAGGTGAAACTAAGCATTAAACCAGAAACTGCATTGAAAAAAATTGTTGACTCCATGACTTCATCTAAGGGAACTAAGCTGCATTATTAAATAACAATTCAGCTACATAAATAACTTGTGCACCATTTTAATTAGGGAAATACAGTGAATGTTGTTGACCGAAACTCGCGCTGCCAGCAAATCAATCATACCCTGCTTTTTAAGGTCAGCACACCACAGCCGCACCGCATTATCGACTAGCCGCTGCGGGATCGCAGGGTGAAGCGGCCCTGGTGGGAGCGCTACCAACCGACCGGTCTCTATATTGGCCGAACCCGGTCGGGCTCAGCCGAGGAATTCCGCGAAACGACTGCAACATGCAATCGCTCCGGCATTTCCATCTACGCCGAAGTCGTCCTTAATCATCTGGTCGCAGTGGATGCCGGACTGGGGCGGGATAGTAACAGGGTGTGGTATTTCGTCAATGAAGAGCAGCGATCAATGAAGTAAGTCTGAAATAAGTGAGAATAACTTTCCAAGTACAAATGAATGTTCTGGAAGCGTTCGTGTTGTTCGAGTGCAAAAAACAAATTGTCAGACTAGCTGCTTAATTGTGAAGACTTGTGTATTGCAGAGTGAATGGGAATAAACTAGTTCGTACCCTGATCACCAGCAGCGAAGTCTGCTCATCCACCCAGGATGGCAATACTGCCGCCGAATGCCATCCTACCACGCCGTACACCTTTTCTGATGCGCCGGTACTTAAACTAGACTTGACGAAGGACGAAGTGAAGCAGCAGGTGCGACGTCCGTAGTGTTTTTACCGACAGTACATTGGTTAAAGTGTCGACGCAAAAAGAAGTGTAATGCAGCAAGTAGTGCTCACTCGTTATTCTAGATAGCGGACTTCATTGTCAGCTTGGGACAGTACGGAGTTGTTGGGATATCGGTGATGTCCGCCAGTTTATCTAACATTGATCAGTTACGAGCGGCCATTGAAGAGAAATCGTCTTCAAGCAACAGTTCTCTCATGGAGAACATGTTTGTTTATTTTGAGATCCGCAGCGAAGCAGCAGAACCAGATTTCAGTACGCCAGAGCCTGACCTGACCTATTTCAGTCCGCGATTGGCCGCTCATACCCGCTCGATTCTGTCCAACGGTTACGACAATGAAGCCGGGTTCAGCTTTGGCAACTCCACCCTGGGAGTTTTGAACATGACGTTCTTATTTAGGAGTTATCTTTTCTACGAAACGCGCCTGACATTTGGTCAGTTTAAAATTCTCGCCTACGAACACCACGAGGTTACCCACAGCGACCGTTACACCGCATGGGGTTATCCGGTGTTCGAGGCGATGGACCGAGCCGACGAAGTTACTGCCACACTGCTGCTGCTCTTAACGACTCCTCACTTAGGTATCCCTAGAATCATATGGGATTACTCGACAACGGATGCCACAGCGCACTGGCAAGGACCACCGACATACGGGAATCGATCGGCAGTGTCGGTATTTGATTCTCCCCCTTCGGATGCCGCTGCTCAATGGGATCACTACTTTCCTGGGGGGTGGAATGAGTGGATTATCCCAGTTAGGTCCATTTAGGCTAAAAAAAGATAAAACTTTTTTAGCCTAAATGTTTGTGTACAGCGTATTTTCAGAAATTTTACATTAGGAAATTTTAAATATGTTTAGCGTAATCGCGCCATGACTGCAGCCTCTGCAATCTCTTTGGCATCAAAGGCAGCGAATCACAGGCGGCGCGATGCTAAAATAGTTTACGAAAGTTGAAAGGTTTCTCCGATACAAACTAATTACATCATCACGATACCACCGGCATCAGTAATTATTAGTTTTTATTACAAGATTGCTCGTAGCATTTCTGAACGCTTCTGTACCATTGCGACGAATAACCGGCTTTTACTGAATTTTATGAGCTTGACGTGGCAGGTTCAACCTATTTTACAGCAGCCTTATGCTTCGGCACACGCATGCACGCTAACGAGTGCCGAATTTAGTTTTTTTTTTGCGTATACTACTCATTAGTAAAGACCACTATTTAATGAGGTTCGTATTGGACAATGTAATACAAGAATATCAGTTAACAAAAACCATAACATCATTTTCGTTCCGCTAAATGAAATGCAAAGTACACATCTTCCCTCTCCACCGTGTCGCCGAATGTACCGAGAACAGACACCGCATTTCCTCGCTGAATCTCAATACCAATTTTTTGGCGCAAAAACTCTCCTGAGCGGGGATTGCCTGTACTGTCAATAATCTTTCTCGACAGCTCTTTGAAGAATTTCTTCGTCAGTGGTCCGAATGTGCCTGTAGTTTCGAACGCCAGCGGTTGAACGGTATAACGGTCTGCCAGCCCGCTGTACTTTCCTAACTTCCGGTTTTCGCGTATTTCCGCTGCACTTCCCGGCACCCTGGACGTCTGGGCGATGTACGTTTGGGCAAATGTGTCCGCCACGGTTACATCCCATACTAGCGGCTTTCCATTTTTCCAAGGGAATGCTGTCACACCGTCGGGCCGTTTTCCATCGCCTCTGTCTAAACCCGCCGGTTCAAGGGACGATGGCACTTTTGCCGAACTCAGTGCACGCTTCATTGCTTCGTTCAAGACTGCGTGGACACCGTGTCTCCCTTTCGCTAACTTGCATACCAATCCGTGAAGTCCAAGACTGTCTACAGTACTACCGCACCGGCAAACATGCTTCTCACAGACTGGAGCTCCCAGCCGCCGTGCCACGGCAATGCGCAAGTGTGCGTCTTCCAATAAATTTCCGAAAACTGAAACGGGTAAAGCAGATAACCAGGCACGCGACTCCGGTGAGGATGCAGCCAACAGGCGGGCAGAGGTAAATACGTCGGCGTTATCCATCATGCGGGTCGCTGTCTGGGAGTGCTGCAGTGTTGTCCAAACCGATTGGAGACAGCGGCTTTCCGTACGCGGGGGCTCCATGGAGAAGCGATTTGTCCATGCTTCCGTTAATTGATTACACCTGTCCCTTATGGTGGCGTCGCCGGTAATGCTGCACACCATTCCGGTCGCTCCGTGAACCGATGAGGCGTAAGCGGCGAGCGCGACGTCCGCTGCGTTAATCAATCCCAGGCCCCCAAATTTCGTGGGTAACGAGGCTTGCTTCCAGACTGAACTAGACATTGCTACGTTGGTAAGCTGTTCCGCTTTCTCCCGGATGACGTCATCAAATCTCTTCAGCTCATCCGGACACTGCCAGCACGGTGACGTTCTAAGAAGATACAACAATTTCGGCAGCGACAAGCAGTTCTTAAGCAAAAACAGCCCCTGATGTGAAGGCAATATACCCAGCTGGTCGGCAAGCACTTGAGCTTGACCGACCTTTTTCATCAACGCGCCCGCGATAGCTTCATTCAGTAATGGTGAGCACAGTAGTTCCAGTTCTTCCGGCTTCGATATCCGAATATCCGGTGCAGCGTTGAGGAATGTCTGAACTACGGCCTGACGCTCTTCGGGGGTTCCGCCGTGCATGTATAGTTCGCATTTCGCTGTGTTCAGCTGCAAGCCTACTGTGGCGGCTGCTCCTTTGATATTCACCAGGGTATCTTTCACAGCTTCCGGATCACCAGCCGAAACACCGTCGTCTAAATACCAGAGGTTGATATCGGCCTGGCTCTGTGAAGAGACATCTTGCGTTAGTAAACCATAATACATCGGTGCGCAGGGATCCCCCTGCTGCACACCACTGGCGGACGGTATGGTGACGCCACTACTGGGGGAAATGCAAAACAAAGTTGTGGCTTCGCCATAAGCTGAACGAACGAAGTTGTAGTATGCAGGGATCCGCTCGAAGACTTTATCCAGCAGCTTGTCTCGGCGGACTGTATTAAAAGCGTAGTAGTAAGTATTCGTTCATGTATTCATACGCGAATGAATTCGACGCTCGTTAGCGCGCTACAGCGTGTAAAACTTTTTGACTATCTCATCGTATCTGTGCATTTGAGTTGCGTAATAGAGGCATTTTAAGATTTTGTTATTTGTGTTTTAGGTTTTGAGATTTCGTGCTGAAGCTCTAACAAATTTCACAAATCCATTTGGCTTTTCCCACTACGGTTGGCTGGCTGAAGGACAATCACCTGGTGCAACACCATTAGTCGCGTTTACGATGACCTTCGACCAGTACCGCAAGCCGTATGGGTCCACGGATGAAGCCGATCTCATAGAACAGTGCAACGTGGCAGTTCTCTTGGTGCCGGTCAAAGACCAGTCGCCTTTTCCAAACCCCCGGTCAATACACAGCGGAGTGGAATATGTGATAGGCTGGGAAGTCCCTTCGATTTACACTTATTGAACACGACAGTGAGCGATCACTTCAGTGCCTAACATGCCATCAGTACCCTATGACACTTATACAGTCACATTAAAATTGACGTCGCGGAACACGGACAGGTGGCCATTTTTGCTGTTTTCTGCTCCTGCAACTGGTCGAATAGCTTGTTATTAAGAATCCTAATGATTATACGTACATAATTGCGTAGTCGTCTTTGTGCACACGTGGTCAAGAGGAACACCGCAAAAAAATCACGGAAATCTTCGGAGCAAAGAATGACGATGAGTTGTGGCGGGTGCAGGAAGTGTCCCAGTTGGATGTGCATCAACTTACCAGTGTGGCTGGGAGCCCGGGATGGCTCTGAACCACGGCAACGCTCTTCTTGCCTCTACTCTTAGTACTGTGAATATGTGTTTGCGGCTCTCACCCATGGTCAGATACCGATTTTTCACATGCATTTAGTTTTCTTGTTATAACGGATGCGGTTTTTAACGACTGTATACTGCTTCCTAGTTCTTTCGAGATATTAAAACAATACTAAGCCCGGCTCAGTTTCCTGGAGAGGTGTACAAGCTTTTTTTCCTGTAGCCTGCCTTTACATCGCGTATTACAAAAGTAACAAGAGAAACAATCATTGACATCATTGCCGTTCATCTAATTTAAAGGCAAAATACACATCTTCCTTCTCAACCACGTCACTAAAAGTACCGAGAACTGATACTGCATTTCCTCTCTGAATCTCGATACCAATTCTCTGACGCAAAAACTCCCCTGAGCGAGGGTTGCCTGTACAGTCACAAATCTTTCGCGGAGAGGTTTGTGACTGGAGAGGTTATACCGGGAATTTTTCTCCCATATTATTCATTTGATAGCCTGTGGATTTGCCATACAGGTAAGGAGTACTTTCTTATTATACAGGCATCCGCTAGCGGTTGAATGAAGCAGATCGGATTTTGTTTGACGTCCAACAGTGATTGTCTTACGATATTCCAGTCCGATTCTTGTTTTGTGATCAGACACAACAGCCAACAATGCTTTGATCAATCTGCATTTACTAAATATTTACTAAATCTGCATTTACTAAATATTTTGATCCGCTCGACAGTTGGCTACTTCGAACGGCACATAAACAACAAGAATAAGTTAATAATAGTGGGTGGCGTAAAACAGCAAGTTCGTACAATATATGGGGTTAATCGCCAATCGTAAGTGGTAGAGGCTCTTGAGAATGCTTCATGCACTCGTTCAAAAACGTCACAGTCAGCGTGGTCAGTTTGCTGGCATCCAGATCCGAGATGTTGGACACCGTCCACTTCACCCCGCGGTAGTGAGTAGTCGGGCGCGGATCCGGACTCTGGCAGTGATTCAGCTCCTGTAAAAGTCAAACATCGCCATTCACTGAACCCGCTCGGTGCCACTGTCAGAGAGAAAGGTTCTCCCTTTGGATTCGGTCGATAAGACCTTTCAATACAATTTGCATGCTATGCCGATAGCCTAGTGGTGCATCTCTCAACCATAGAGTAAAGAGGTTGTGAGTTCGGTTTTTTCAGAATTTCTATGCGAGTTTAGCCCCACCTATTGATAGTGAACAACAAGAGTTTTACCCATAAAATGCCTTGAATCTGATAATCCCGCTGGTGGGCTAAAGAGTCCGCGATCCATTTTGCCACGGCCGGCAAATCCAGCGGCTCCTGGACAGTCTGATGTTCCTCGAAGCAGTCCCACAGCTGCACCACGACGTCCTCCCGCGACCGGATGCTAAACACATGCTGCGCTACAGATGCGCTTTGCAGGTAGGATAAGATGCGACACTTCTTCCACAGCACCCTCTCACACGACCACGTCCCTGCCAGGCGCGCTACATCGTCCAGGACAGCATTGGCGTATTCATTTTCATCACCCAGAACGCACTGAAATAACACTAGAAGAGGAAGTTTGCGGCCGGCGTTGAATACGCGGTTGATGGGCGCCGCCAGGTGCCGGAGACTGTAGGTGGGCAGACTGGTAATAACCATCATCCTAGTGGCGCTGGTGAGGCACTTGAACAAGCACTCTAACACCCAGTACACGCCGTCGGTGGGGAACATCTGCGGACCATAATCCGCATCGCCACCGGAGACGCGCACATCGGGAAAATATGCCGCGTTGGTGAGAAGGGCATTCCACACGTGACATACACGTCGACAGCGAACGCGCTGGACAGAATCCAGCGACCGGAAGATCTCCACCAGCAGCTCAGCCGGCACCGGCAGACGGTCAACTGTCCGCTTCTTGTTAACTGTGTACACCTGCCGTGATGGCAGTGAACAGGCTCTCGCCTGCTCTTCCATCGCCAGATCGCATTCCTTTTGCTGAAAAACAGCGTATTCGTCAATGGCTACGATTCGGTGATCAGCAGTTGAGCCTAGTGATCAGGCTTTGAGTGCCTCGGGGTTTTGTCTGCTCATTGAGAAATTAAACTAAACTAAACTAAACTAAACTAAACTAAACTAAACTAAACTAAACTAAACTAAACTAAACTAAACTAAACTAAACTAAACTAAACTAAACTAAACTAAACTAAACTAAACTAAACTAAACTAAACTAAACTAAACTAGACCTACTATGCTACTCACCACTTGCTTAGCTGTCAAAGGAGTGTCATCCTGGCGCTGAAGATAGAGCAATGTCTGGCTGAGCAGGGACGTGCACAATACCCGGTAGCGTTGGCTGAATCCAGCTTTCAGGATCTCTCCGAGCTGCAGGTTGTAGGCGACGAGCAACGGACATGCGCGAATGACAAACTCATTAGGGACCACCCGCAGGTGCTCCTCATAATCCCCGTCCGTCAACGCTGGGCGTACTTGCTTCCAGCGGACCAGTTCTTCGACGGTGCCGTGCGGCAGTTGCACTTGCACGAAGGTTGTCTCCCCAAAACCAAAGGCCGCAAAGGGACCCGTCTTCCCCGGAAACCAGGTCCATGGCGCGTCCGGGTGCGGGCGCAGCAGAACCTGCACTGCATCCCCGCGTGCTTCGCCCCAGGAGCGGGACAGGCAGCGGAACACCGTTCCGAATGCGACGAACTGCGAGCGCTGCCCGGCGCACCCGAAATCAATGATCAGGCCGCCCTCCGCCAGGTTGACGATCTCACCGTGCTGCAGGCGGCCGTCGACCAGGACGTCCACCGAATTCCAGAAGTACGCATAGTCTCGGTAAAGCAGCATTCCACAGACGCCTAGTGTAAGTGAGGTTTGTTTACAACTTTCAGGCGCCGGGACTCTTCGCAGAATGCCAGATGAATTCACATATTACTAGCTAGTTGCTCCTTTCGTAGTAAGTTCGTACTAAAGCGAAACGTATGTCGAATTAATAAGGACATCTGCCCAGATATGAAAGTAGTTACTTAATCCGAGAATTTTGTATTTCGTAAATCGTAAACCATAACAACTGAAAACAGTATGACAGCACTAGCAGCAAACTTTTTCAGTCAACGCTTAATGCAGGAAAGACTGAAAGAGAGTGTTGGACTGCCACACGGCCCACACCGGAAGCAGGACTGATGCAGGCAGCTGCCACTACTGAAGTGGGCGCAACAGGGGCTGGCCTTACAATAGTACAATAGTACCTGACCCAGAAACGGAAGCGGGCAGACTCGGTGTTTGATTTTGGCCAGGCATAAATGCCAAGCCGTGGGTTGATTTTCATCATCTGCGAAATGGTCTCTCAGCCAGGAATAAATCCCTGACTGATCCAATTGCTCTCGTGTTTGTTTTGGCCGCAGTATTCCCATCCGGGATATAGTGTTTTTCATTCAAGCATCTTGCCTTTATTGTATCTCTCCGAAAATATCAATAAACGATTAACGATCTTCTGGTTGTGCGTGTTTTCACTGGCACATCGCTGTAGTTTACACACCGCGCTTTCAATAGAAGCCGTACGCGTAGATCATATGGATTAGCCGCGGCACTAGGATAAAAGCGACGGACTTATATAGACTTCGGGATGCGCGCAGACATCGAGAATGCGTGAAACCAATATAGATGTACTAGCTATCGATCGGCTCCCACAGCTGAGAAGCAACAACATTGGTCAAACGTAAAGCCGCATCTACCAAAATTAAGAAGCCAGACAAGTTTCAGTATAAAAAGAATACACAAGTAGGAGTGTGAAATACATAGGAAAAGGGACAAGGGTGTAGAGAGGTGTACAAGGTGTACGTACTATCCACACCGGTACACGTGATCCCTACAATAAGCCACGAACGCCGCTTTTGGCCACACCACTCGCAAACCAAATATTTGGTTCCGTCCGAACAAAACTGTGGTACAGCCAAACCGTTCCATCCAGTAGTGCGACATTTCATCCAGCACTATCCTCCGAGATCTGTTGCTCTCCGGGATCCGTTTGTAATCGTAAGTTTCACCGATCCTGGAATGTAACTTTGTTAGATCTTTGGCGCTCGATTGACAATCCTGAATCCACGGGAATGTGGCATGGAGGAAGGCAGGATACGTCCGAAGATATCCAGCAAGGCAAAAAAGTAGAAAAGAAAAGCACTAATTGCAAGTGCAGATTTTAAAGCGATTTTAATACGGCTCGCAAGGATCTGCGTTTGCGGCGTTAAAAGCCAGTACACTACGACACGCAACAAAAAATTAAAGTGTTGTTAACGCTGACACCTGACGCTGACCATCATTTAAACAGTGTATGAGCTATACCGCTGTTGATTTACCATCTGATAAAGGCACTGTACTACAATTATTCGCCATTTCTACTGGTGAACCGTAAAGCACGCGTTGAAACAACTGTGTGTATGCCATGTGATAATGCCGTACAGGGTTCGGATTCTGATCATCCAAGCAACGATTCCCGCTGCTGTCAGCTCCCTTCTGAGCGCCATCACCGTGACGTGACGTTCGTTTTTCCCCCCGTAATTTTGTAAATATCCTCAACAGTTCCGGTTGCTGCGATAGGGATGAAAACCACCTCCGCGTCCTCGGCCGCGATGCTGACGATGGCCATCGGAGGACAATCGGAGTTATCGGACCGTCTGCCAGATACGTAATTAAAGGCAGCATTCTCATTAACTGGCATGATGGCTAGAAAAAATGGCCTTTGAATAAACAACTACGGTGCAATTGGGTTTTGGGGTTACGGTATTTTCACAACTGTGTTGCCGCTTCCCAGTTTTTGTTAATCTACATTCCCATCTACTCTGATCTGGTCAACCATTAAACGATTAGAGTAATTATCATACTATCACTTATAAATTACAAGCCATCGACATGGGCAGCATGAAACAGTTTATAAAGAACGGCAAAAGGCGAATCAGCATCTCTGTGCAGTGTGCACAACACGACGTTACTAGCAGTTTCTACTTGTAGGTACATATGCGTGTGTTCAGGAAACTTTTTGTTTCGGTAAGAGACTGAACGAAGTGTACTATGTGTTGAAATGATGAGAATTGCGTAATTTTGAGGTTAACCAATGGTAACTTGAATAACCCAATAAAGTCCGTATAACAGTATACATATTACATATAGTGAGGGCACTGGAACAGGAGATAAGGCGACAAGCAATTTCGTAGGAATGCCAAACGGGCCAAAGAAGTTTTTTTTAGCACGTGTATCCTGTATTATTTTGTTCTCCCTAAATACGCCGGCAGATATGCATGATATACCGGCGCATATCTTCGCCGGTACGAGGACATTTGGGTGCTGTGAACAAACCCTGCACGATTAGGCTGCGATGAACAGCTGGTTAGCCGTAGCTCGCAACGCTACTGATATCAGTCTGAATGCAAACGGCTATAAATTTAGCCGGCTGTTCATCGCAGCCTAATCGTGCAGGGTATGTTCACAGCAACCAAATGTCCTCGTATTCTCGCACGTTTCTGTAATTTATCAGTGCTCAGGTAATTAGGAATCGCTCGTGTTGTACATATTTGTGATAAGAGTCAACATTGAACACTGAACAGTGCAAACTATCGGTTTCAGTGTAGATTCGACTGTGCAATTGAATTGTTAAAAGGGTGTATGGCAGTACACACTACAGCAGTTTGGATCACCAACTATCCGGATCTTTATCCTTTGCCCGCCACACAGCTGCTAGCCGCATGCACTGTACCAAGAGCCTGGCAGTCAGCGAAGTCAGTTTGCTAACATCCAGATCGGAGACGTTGGACACCGTCCACTCCACACCGCGGTACTGCGAGATCGGTCGGGGATCCACACTCTGAATCTGGTTCAACACCTGCAATTATCACCCGTTACCCAGCATGTCATCCACTGCTATGAGGAGAATCGTCAAAAGTTAGTTTTACCTTCACCACCTCTTCAATTTCATCGTGTCGCTGCTGAGCCCAGCAGTCCGTGATCCATGCGGATACAGCCTGCAAATCCAGTGGCTCTTCGACCTCCAGATTGCCCTCCAAGTGCTCCCACAGCTGCATCTCAGTGTCCTCCTGCGACCGGATGTTGAAGGCCTGCTGCGTGACAGTTATGTGCTGCTTGCTGTACGAGATGCCGCACTTCTTCCACACCATTCTCTCACACCGACAGTCCCCAGCCAATGACGCCAACCGTTCGATGGCTTCTTGCATGCGATCATCAGCCTCCCCCAGATAACACCCATGGAACACCACAGTGGGGATTTTGTGCTGGGCACTGAATACGCGATTAATCGGCCCGGCCACGTGCCAGCAGTCGCATGATTTTAAGTTGCTGACCACCACCATCGTGGTGGCGCTGGTGAGGCACTTGAACAAGCAGGCCAGCACCCAGTACACACCGTCCTCGGAGAAATCCACATCACCATACGCGGCCTCGCCACCGGTGACACGCACATCTGGGAAGTAAGTGTCGGTGAAGAGGAGGCGGTCCCATGCGTGACAGACACGCCGACAGCGGATCCGTCCAATGGAGTCCAGTGCCTGGAAGACCTGCTGCAGCAGCTCAGCCGCCAACGGCAGACTTGCGCGGCGTTCGTTGGAAATCTTACGCTTTCTACTAGCTGTGTCAAGCGGACCGTGACGATGTATCCAGCGCAGTAAGTCGGATGGGCAACCATGCGCCTGCTTTTTCTTCGCCACGTCGCACCTTTCTTGCTGAAAATACAAAAACTTCCCGCGTGTAACGAAGTAGCTTTAATACGGGAAGCGGCAACTGTATCGACGCATGTGCCATCCCAAGCCAAACACATCCCCCTCTGCCAAGCGATACAGTTGTGTTTAAAGAAAGGTGCTGCTGTTGCGTTTAAAGAAATCGGGAAAAAGTTGTTTGTTCGAACCGGCGCGTCCCGATTTACTTCAATTTTGTTTCAACGTTTACGTTTAAGTGGGGCTGCTACCAGGTAGGTAATTTCTCTTGGAAATACAGCGCATGCCAAACCGGATTTCTGACGCGTACGCACTTACCAGTTGCTCAGATGTCAACGGGGATGCATACTGCCACTGCAGATACAACAGTCTTTGACTGAGCACGACCGTTAACAGGACCTTGAAGCGCCAGCTCAGTTCGTACTTCAGGATCCCGGCGAGCAGCGCTGTCGCATCCTGCCAGTAGTCCGCGGGCAGCGGGCAAGAGCGGATAACAAAGTCATTTGGCTTGACCCGACGCTCCTCATAATCCTCGTCCGTCAGCACTGGGCGCACCTGTTGCCAGGGAACCAGCTCGGTGACGGTGCCGTGCGGGAGCTCCACTTCCACATACTCAGCCTCGCCGTAATAGAATTCATTCCAGTCGATGGCTTTTCCAGGGTACCAGATCCACGCCGCGTCCGCACGCTGCCGCCACAGGGCCTGTACGACGTCCTGTTTTTCCCGCGTTTCGTGATGGCTGAGGATAATGGGTCCGTAGGCGACGAACTCCGAGCGCTGCGTGGCGCATCCGAAATCGATGATCAGGCCGCCCTCCACCACGTTGATAACGTGGCCGTGCTGTAGCAGGCCGTTAACCAAGACCTCCACGGCGTTCCACGCAAACGCATTTTCCCGGTAAGGCAGCATCCGTCGCTGCCTGCAGGCTAACAGGTTGCGATAATTTGCTGGCACACTCCAAAATACGCCTCAAATGGATTTACGCAGTCTTGCACGGGACAAACTCAGCATGGGTGCATTCTTCGTTATGCGGTCGAGACGTGCAAGTATGTAATTACACACTCACTTATTTAAAGGCAAGAGTAATCATTCAATATCATCACAACTTACAAGTGAAAATAACCGATCTGATAAGAATTTTAAATCTATAGGTAAGATCCATAAGAACAGCACAAAGTCCAAAATGTTAGGTACATTGTACATACTCGTCGACTTGCACGACGTTGGGTGCCGCCCAAAGTGACGATTGCCTGAACAAGTTGTTCGATTATTAAACGTTATTAAGTTTTTTCTGGGTTTTCAAATTTCCACTTTGCTTAGAAACTACAATTACTCTTAGAGTGTACTTGTGAGGAGAGAAGCGGCTCATATACAGCGACAAAGTCTTTCAAAGGATTTCATCACTTTGCGCCGTGGTGCAGTGATACTGCCTGCGCGGATCTAACGACGTAGCCGGGGTTCGATCATCGGTGCATTTTTCAGCCGTTTCTCGGTTTCCCTCGGATTGCGCCCTGCTGAGATACGCATTCGTGGATCGTTTCGTAATGTGGTTATATTTTACGAGTACCGTTCTGTGCAAAGGCATCTAATAAAAAGGTGCAACTCAAACCACGGTCGACTTCTCCTTGTGGGCAAACGCACTACGCAGCAAGCAGTTTACCCGATTTTTGCCAGTCATCTGAAGAATGTTGATATATAAAGACGATGTATGCGCGTGGAACGGCGTTGACGTCCTCGTCGATCGCCAGCTGCACCACGGCAACGTCATGAACGTGGTGGACGGAGGGTTGATGATCAGTTTCGGCTGCAACACCCAGTTTATCCGCTATGGGAACATCTTCGAGTGCCCCCGCGCGACCGACCACCCCGCCCTCAAGTACAAACCTCCATGGCACTGGCACGCAGGCGATAATGCGCAGGTACTGCTCCGCGCTACACCCAGTTCCGCCTGGATGTGGTATGCAGGGAAATTTGTCGACCTGGACGATTACTGTCAGGATGATTCGGTGTTGGTGGATGTGCAGCTACCAGGCGGAACCGTCAGAGAACTGCTGCTCTGCCAACAAGTGCGTGCGCCGTTGTCGGAGGAGGACTTGGCGCAGCGGCGGATTGGGGAGAAGCACTTCGTTATCCGCTGCTGCCCGTTGCCAGATGGATATTGGTCAGAGGAATGCCAAATTGTCAAACGATTTTTCCGACAGGACTTGGAAGACCAGAACGATGTGTTGAGCATTTCGGTTGTCAGTCATTCGTTGCTTTATCTGCAGTGTCGCACAGCCACTCCGCTGACAGTTGAAATACTGGTACGTGTACAAACTGGTATTACTAGAAGTAGGTTGAAGTTCAAGCTGGTTCTATAATGTACATAATTTCATGGACCGGAAAATTCAAGAATTAACCGGAGAAACTTTGGAGTTCTGTTAGGTTTTCTTTAACAATTTTAAGCGGCGTTTTAGTTTGGCTGTAAATAAGGGAAATGGAAAGAAATACATGTACTTACTATAACGACTGAAGCCGCTTATGCAGTTATGTGTAATTTCTGCAGGACATACTATTAGCCGAAGCGAAGACACGCTTAGCCCCACACCTATCGCTCCATCCGGCTCTGCGTCAACCTAACAAAAAATGCAAACGCAAAACCATTCTGCGATTAATAAATCTGCCGGCCGAAATACTAGTGCAAGTTTTCCAATCGCTGGACTCCATCGGGCGCATTCGCTGTCGACGCGTCTGCTCGTTATGGAACCGCCTTCTCACCACCGACGCTTACTTCCCCGATGTCCGGGTATCCGGTCGCGCGGCCGACCTCCCGAACGGTCCGCAGCATGAAGAGATGCACTGGGTGGTGTCGTGTCTGCTGAAATGCGTGACCAGCCGCACACGGGCGGTGGTGATCAGCCATCTGGACATCGGCTATCGCTGCCTGCGCTGCGCCGTCCTTATCAGTCACATTCGCCAGGCCGTCCGCCTCCCGGCGCTGGTCTTCTACCAGTGCGAATTTGGCGGGGACTTTCAAGGGGAAATCACGATTGCAGCCGACATCAAGGATATGTTGAAACTGTGGGAATCCAGCGACCGAGTCGTGTGGAAGCAGTGCCGCATCTACGACGACCGTGTGCAGGCGGTTATGGCGCAGTACGGCCTCAACGCCCAGCCGGCAGCTCAGCTGGAGACGCAGCTGTGGGATCTCGTTGAGAGGAATCTCGTTCTCAAGAAACCGCTGGATTTGCCGGCCTTGGCGGAGTGGATCGCGGACTGTATCGCCAAGAAACACCGCCAGCCGTTGAAGGACATTATCACGGTGGGAAATCATCGTGCCTTGCTTTTTAAAGGTATTTTTGTGGAGTTGATTATACGGTTGAATTTCAGGCGCTGTGGGAATACCAGAGTGTGGATCCGCGTCTGCCCACTGAATACCGGAACCGGAAGTGGCGGGTGACCGAGTTGACCTACCTAGATGTGCAAAAGCTGACAAGAGTGACGGCGGCGGCACTCAGTGACGTTATGGATGCAGGAAATTAGCTTCCAGCGCACTTAGGTTCAGAAAAATGCTTTATTTAACAACTTGTACAAGCAAATGCCATTTAAATTTAAAACTGAAATATCCAGCAGCTAGAACAAATGAAAAAGCTCTTTTGAACAACGAACAGTTCCCAAAACCGAAGCGGCATTTCCGCGCTGAATTTCAACACTTCAGAACACGTTTGTTCAGGGAAGACTATAAGATTCTCTCCCCACCCTGTCGGTTTCCAGTTTGTGTTCTTTTCTACAATAAATTAATGTTCTTTCTCGTTTCGTAGCGTGTCTGTAGCGGTACGCTATATAGTAACCTGAATGTATCCCATGTCAACGGCGCGCTTCAAATAAGCACGACGACTTACGTGCTTATTTGAAGCGCGCCGTTGCCTCGTTAAAAATGACGATATGGTTAATTTTTATAATAATCAGTAGCTACAGTTTCGTAGAAACTACAAAAAACAGAAAGGATCACACTGGAAAGTGTGATCCTTTCTGCTGAACAGATACACTAGAGCATGATTCAGCATCGAAATTCAGCGAGGAAACGCAGCATCTATCATGGGAACAGCACCACCGACGGCAAATTTAGACGAAATCTTCTCTGTTATTCGCCCGCCTGTGTTTGTAGATGTTGCTGTGTAACTCGCTTTTGTTTTCAGCTTCTCCTGAACACTTGAATTTGTGAAAAAATTTTGTTACTCTTAACGCGGAACAAAATTGTTGTAGAGCATGATTATAATTTATAATGCTAAAGGCTAAACATATAGGCGCAATACCATTTCAGCACTTGCCCAACACAAACCGCAAAGCCGACATGCTACAGCACTGCTCTAACTAAAATGACACGATATGCCCAACATGAGTGCATCCGCTAATATCGTGACTGTCAGTGTGGTCAGCGTTGTCAAATCCAAATCGGCCAAGTCTTCCACCGTCCACTGGCGACCGCGGTACCGCGTGGTGGGGCGGGGATCGGCGCTCTGGTAGGTGTTTAGAATCTGCAAGCAGCGCAATGCATATTGACTTGCTGATCTCAGGAGACGAAAACTGGTAGCAACGCTACACTCAATGATATGCATTGCCTCTTATGATATGAATGCTGGCAATGTTTCAGTTACTTGCGACCAGTGAGACACCAACCAGCCCGCAGGTCTTCTGCCATCCAAAAGCACAGACGTACTTTGCGATTGCTTTATTCGGCTAGCTGCTTCGAAACTTGATTTATGGTTGCCGGTGTACACCTTAGTGTTCACCCACACAATTCACAGGCTTACCTTTCGAATAATGTGATTAATACGATATTCACGGTTGTCAGCGACGGCTTCAGTGATCAATTCTGCCAGCGCCGGCAAATCCAGCGGTTGCGGGAGGATCAGCGCCTGCTCGAAGAGATCGAACATCTGCATCTCGATGTCTTCCCGCGAGCGGACGCTGAAGGCGTGCTGCGCGATTGCGGTTGTCGATGAGCGTATGATAATGCGGCACTGCTTCCATACCATTCGCTCGCACACCGCCTGCACGGCATCCTTCGCCGCATTGCTAATCGTCCACATTGTTCGCGTTCGTCCAAATTGCTAATCACGGCGATTTTGGTGGCGTTGGTGAGACACTTCAGTAAGCAGGCCTGCACCCAGTAGATGCCCTCCCAGGAATGGTTCTTATCATAATTTGTACTGGCGGAAACACGGGCATCGGGAAAGTAGGCTGCGGTGGTGAGGATGCTGTTCCACACGTAGCAGACACGCCGACAGCGAAAGCGCTCGATGGAATCCAGCGCCTGGAAGACCTCGAGCAGCAGCTCAGTCGGCAACGGCAGGCATCGGCGCCTGGCGGCAACTTTGCGCTTTTTACGGGCTGTGAAGGTTGCACCAAGGCAGCCTGTGCCAAGTGGTGCCGATATTGACCCGTCGCTCGCTAGTTCTTGCTTCGCTATATCGCATTGTTCCTGCTGAAAGAACTCCCATCCATTAATCATTATGACAAACATATAAGCCTTCATATCTGTCTATTCGCTGAGAGTACCGCGACTAGATGGAATTAAGAAACCTTAAGAAGCATAGGAAACTCAAGAATAACCTTAAGAAACGTAAGAAATCTAAGAAACCTAAGAAATCTAAGAAACCTAAGAAACCTTAAGAAACCTAAGAAATCTCAGAAATGTAAGAAACCTAAGAAAAAATCTAGAAACCTTGAAGAAAACTAGGAAGGACTAGGAAAATGCTAACTCGACTTCGTGACGCGCTGACATCGTGTCTATTCGACTTAGGATCGACAAAATGACAGGTAAATGAAGGCAAACACGCTCAAAATGCCCGTAGCAATTTCTTGAATAACGACTACGCTAAAATGCTGTTCGAGAAAGGTAAAAGAACGCGCTTCTCAAATCTCAGGCTTTCCAGTATCCCTTAATCGTACGGAAAAGCTGGCAGCAAAATTGAATTTCTGCCACTTGCAGGACTTACCAGCTGCCCAGGGGTCAATGTTATGTGGTGCGGCGCAGAGGGGCCCTGAAGATAGCACAGTGTCTGGCTGAGCACGGTCGTGCACAGTACCCTGTAGCGTTCGTTGACTCCGGATTTCAGGATCTTTTCGAGCTGCGGAGACGCCTCCGACCAGTAGCCGACAGGCAGTGGACAAGCGCGGATGACAAAGTCATGGGGCGCAACGCGGCGCAAATCCTCATAATTCCCGCCCCGCAGCGCTGGGCGCACTTGTTTCCGGCCAATCAGCTCCTCGACGGTGCCGTGCGGCAGTTGCACTTGCACGAACGCCGCCTCCCGAAAGCAGTAGCCATCCAGGGGCACGGTCTTCCCCGGGTACCAGGTCCATGGTGCGTCCGGGTGCTGGCGTAACAGCACCTGCATCGGCTGCCCGTCCTTTGGGATATCCCAGTATCTGGGCTCATCATCACAGCGGAAGACTGGCCCGAAGGCGACGAACTGCGAGCGCTGCGCTATGCATTCAAAATCGATGATGAGGCCGCCCTCCGCCAGGTTGACGATCTTGCCGTGCTGGAGGAGACCGTCAACGAGGACGTCCACGGCGTTCCACGTGAATACCCTGCCTCGGTATTCCAGCATTCTACAGTTGCTGAGGAAACAACTTAGTGAAGAGTGCATGCACTTCGTTTCTTACAGGCTGCGCGACTTGTCGCAGATGGAGACCATGGAGTCACCCAATCGCGCTAGTACTACTGTACCCTGAACTCAAAACGAAATCCACAAAGGTACAAAGGTTTGAACTGCCCAGAAATGCAAGCGATAGTTACTAATTGCACCCGACTGGAGTAGTCCTAATATTATGAGATTTAGGAAACTATTTTGACAGTTTGAGTGCACTGAAAACGACTATAACCACGTGACAGCTGGAAATTCACTGCTTCTACTTTGGTTGCCGCCCAGAGCGACGGCTACTTGTTGACTTTCGGTTACCGATTTGTGTCACGTGTGTGTCGGAATAGATGCAGCTAGCTGACAAGAGTGACGGCAGCGGCACTCGAAGGCGTTATGGATGCGGGAAATCAGATGCCCGTCTGTTTAGATTCAGAAAGCGAATGCTAAGGATCTTACGTTGAAGGTTTTAGCCTACAGCATAAAAGGATCTAAAATAGAGTATCTTGTATTCTAGACTGAATGTTCATTCTCCATTTGAATCATACTACGTAGGTTACTAGGTTCGTTATCTCTATGTTATCTCCGAAATATGAAACTGGGCTGTTCTGGAGTTGTTGCTCGTAAAGGTTTGCCGACCGATGTTAACCAAGACGAACAGTGGGAATAGGGTATCCTGAATGTATCCCATGTCATATGTCTCGACGATTTCTGACTTTATCTTAAAAAACGCTCCATCGTTCCCAAGAGCAACAAGTTTATTTCGTTATTAAAAAAGAACGATGCAGAACACGGAAAAGGGCATGGTTTGCACATCTGCAATGTTACCGCTGATCAGCCAGTTCTTAATTTTAAAGTTAAATGGCTGTTTATCTATGTAACGCAGCTGCGAAACCGCTTTGCACCATTTGCCCAGCACTAGCCGCAAAGCCAGCGGATGCAGCAACGAAGGTCAATGAGTCCGATTGGGTTTTACACACGGTGTAAGCACCTCCGCCAAAAACGCCGCCGTTAGTGTGGTCAGCCTTGTGACGTCCAAATCGGCCAAGTGGGATACCGTCCACTTCCGGTCGCGGTACTGCGTGGTGAGACGAGGGTCGGCACTCTGGTAGACATTCAGCGTCTGCAGCAACATGGACAAATCATCACGTACTGCATTCATGTGTACTCGTAGAGAAACCACGGACATACATTCAAAATAATCTTAATATCGTATTCTCGGATGTTAACATGACGTTCTGGGTTGTCAGCGACGGCATTGGCGATCCATACCGCCAACGTCGGCAAATGTAGCGGCTGCGGCAGGACAAACGCCCGCTCAACAAGAGCAAAGAGCTGCATCTCCATGTCTTCCCGGGAGCGGACGCTGAATGTGTGCTGCCCAATGGTGATCGGTGGGCGTGGTTCCGTGGACTTCGAAAGGATATTAGCAATTTCTGTTTACGGATCAACCTTTTTTTTAAGACAACTTGATTACAAAATCAAAACCAGCGGATTTCTGAACTTAGATGGCATCTTTCCCAGTTGAAAAAGGTCAAGGCAAATGTTCACTGAGACTGCGTTATTTAAAAAGGTTGATCCTGAAAGGTAAGCTGAAATTGCTAATATCCTTACCAAGTCTGTGCATGTGACGATGCGGCATTGCTTCCACACGATGCGCTCGCACACCGAATGCACGGCCTCCTCCGCAGTGAAGTCTATAACAGCATGGGCGTTGTAACCCGTATAGCCGAAATCACAGTCCTTGAACATCAGCGTCGGCAGCCGGCGACTGGCGCTGAATGTGTGATTAATCGGCTCGGCTGCGTTGCGGGTCCTGTCGCCGTCCACATGCATGATCACCGCCACCATGGTGGCCGGACGCAGGCATTTCTGCAGGCCGGCCATCCACCAGAACATGCCGCCATCGTTAAAAGGCACTGCGCCATAATACGCATCTTTTCCGGAGACGCGCACGTCGGTAAAGTAAGATTCCGTGGTGAGAAGGCTGTTCCACAGTGGACAGACACGCCGGCAGCGGACGCGCTCGATGGAGTCCTGGGCCTGGAAGACCTCCACTAGAAGCTCCGCGGGCAAGGGCAAACTCGTCTCATCCACCTTGCGCCGTTTTCTAGGCGGACTACAGCTGGGGCCTGTGTGACAGACCAATGGCTGCGATGTACATCGTCTATCGCAGCCACGTTTATACATCTCTTCCTGCAAGGATTAATACGTACAAAGCCATTTGGATATTTTTCATTCAGTGGTTAAAACAAGGGGTGTGGCTGCTACCGAGCCTTACAGAGGAACTGAGAGAATGACAGTGTTCTGTGCCTCCTGCTTGTTTCTTATGATCCAGGTACAATCCATTCAATTGTAAAATCCGTAGTACAGCAAGTACAGCGCGCATACAGTGTAAGTGTGTGTCAAAAGAATTAAAACAGAATAACAGATTATACTCGTATGCATCGTCAAGGACTCAAGGGTAACAAAATAGTTCAAAAATATTGAGTAAAAAAAGCCTCCCACTCCTTCGCACGGAAGCCTCGAGGCAAATCAATAAAGATCTTCCCCTTTGCTGGATTAATTTATTTCTTGGAATCTATGCTCCGGATCTCGCTTTCTACAGTAGCCCCTTAGTTGAATCGCATTCTTACCAGCAGAGCGGTTGTCAGCGGAGTGTGAGTCTGACGCTGCAGATACAGAATTGCCTGGCTGAGCACGGTGGTGCACAGTGTTTCGTCACACTGTAGGTGTCGACTCAGTACGCGCTTGAGCATCTGAGCGAGGCCGTGCGGCTCTTCGGACCAGCGGACGGCCGGCAGCGGGCAGCAACGGATAACAAAGTCATCCCGCATTACGGGCAGCTGTTGAGGATCTGCGGTGCGCAGTTGCTTGCTGGGAAGCAACTCGGTGACGGTGCCGTGGGGCAGCTGCACTTCGACAAAGTCTGCATAGTCGTCGTACGCAGAGTCGTCAAACTTGGCGGGGACCCATCGTCCCGGGAACCATGTCCAGGCGTCGTTGGGATGGTAGCGCAGGAGGACTTGTACGTCTGTTTTCGAGCGACCCATCTCCTTGCTGTCGTAGTGGAAGATGCGCCCGTACTCGATGAACTGCGAGCGCCGAGCGGTGCAGCCAAAGTCGATGATCAGGCCGCCCTCCGCCACATTGATCACCTGGCCGTGCTGCATCTGGCCGTCGACCAACACCTGCACGCCGTTCCATGCGGACCAGTCGTCGACGTACACCAGCATTGCAGTCTGCAGATAACAGAGCTTTGAGACTCTTCACAGACTGTCAGATGGATTCCCAGACCGCCGTTCGAAATGGCCAGGAACACAGAGTTAGATTGGCTCAAATTTTGTGCTCAAAGCCTCGCACTCAAAGTCAAAGCCTCAAATTAATCGCACAAGACTATAACATTTCCCACTGGGAGTATAACATTTCCCATACAAAATACGAAAACGGAAAGTCACGACAAAAATTGCTAAATCAGCGTAAATACTGACATACTGTACTTCTACCTCATTGTGGTGTTTTTCGCGATTACTTACACAGTTTATACACTAGCCGTCGACGATGCAGTTGTCAAACGACAACCTAACCAAATTCTGCGTGAGGTGGCCCATACCAGCCGATGTTAGAATAAATCTTGGTACTAGGCAATTTTTGTAACGCCCTTCACGCGACCCGTGTGCAGTTTCAAATGCGTGCTACTTCCCAGTTTCCCGAATTAATAAAATAAGAATTATTGCACCTATGCACTTAATAAAATAAGAATTATTTCAGTGCTTCATGTTAGACATGCGTTGGTTTGGGAATTGGGCAAGGGGTACTTCTGTACTTTACCGTCTACCACGAGCCGTTGATGAATTCTGATGAAAAGCGAGGTTAGAAGCTAAATGTTGTTGAGCGTTCTTTTAAGTACATCTTGGTACTTGTACTTAGAATCTTCGAAGTTTAGATTGTAGCCCGCTTTTTATTGTGCTTGTGATCGGACAAAATAGTGACCCATGCATGCTTTGCTAAATCCTTTTTTATTAGATATGTTCATTCAGCCAACAATTACCGATTGGATGCTAGTATTCGCAAAACCAGCCATTATCGGCATCCGCCAGTCAAACACTTGAAACCACGCACCATTTGTTAAAAAGAAGCATACGAGTCTTTATTCATGTCTTACTGTATTTTCTAATGTGACTGCCAAACAGCAAAATTGGATGAAGCAGTTAGCAAATCGCGCTAACCCGGAATAGCTCAGTCCATGATTTGCCCATTCCCATCGAAGTGGTTTCATTGCACTTCCCGGATTATGAAGAGCCTCTTTGGTCGAAAAGATCTGGATAGGGGGACAGAATTTTTGCATTAAACCTGCTCACGATCGGGTTTAATAAACTCGCTCAAAAACGCCGTGGTCAGCCTGGACAGCTTGCTGACATCGAGATCGGAAATGTTCGCCACGGTCCACTTAACCCCGCGGTACTGCGTGGTCGGACGCGGATCCGGGCTCTGATATTCGTTCATGTGCTGTAAACGTCAAAACATTCACGATTCACCTACTAGCGAGCTCGGCGTCACCGTCTAATAGTGTACAACAAGCATCTTACCCATACAACTTTGTCAATCTCATCGCGCCGCTGGTGGGCCAAGCAGTCTGCGACCCATCCTGACAAGGCCTGCACATCAAACGGCTTCTTGGCAGCCTGCAGATACTCAAAGAGATTCCACATCTGCACATTAGCATCAGCCCGCGATCCGATAGTAAACGTATGGTGCGCCACAGTCACGACCCGCCCGTCGTAGTCAATGCAGCAATTGCTCCACATCATTCTCGCACAGGAACACTTCCACATCCTGTCAGCCAAACGGCCAATGAGGTCCGTGACACCTTCATATGCTTTGTCCAGCTCGCATTTATGCCACACCACCACCGGAATTTGCCGGGATTCGTTGAACACGCGCCTGAATGGCGCCGCCAAGAGCGCGAATCCTTTTCGGTACAGACTGCTGATCAGCGCCATCTTGATAGCGCTGGTGAGACACTTGAGTAAGCAGGCCAGCATCCAGTAGGCGCCGCTCCGGGAACCATCCTTCTCGTAATAACCTGCTTGGCCAGAAACGCGGACATCGGGAAAGAAGGCTGCGTTGATGAGAATGCTATTCCACACGTGGCAGACTCGCCGACAGCGGATCCGCCCGATGGAGTCCAGCGCCTGGAAGACCTCTAGCAGCAGTTCGGTCGGCAACGGGAGACAGCGGAGCTCCTCGGCAACCTCACGCTTTTTACTGGCTGTGTCCAGCTCACAGTCTGTCAACGGATGCGCCGGTAATGAGCCGCCAGTAGCCTGCTCTTGCTTGGCCAGATCGTATTCGCCTTGCTGAAAGAACTCACGTCAATCAGTGGTTATGAAACTGCATGACTTAAGGGGAACTAATTTATAGCAAGAACCCGATTTTATAAATTACCGCTTCGTACCATTGTGAAGGACAGTATGCTACACCAGCTGAGGCCACATTTGGCATTAGGCACTATTTGCAAAACAAGTGCGTTAAAATGTGTGTTTTCCGACATTTTAAATTTTAAAGTTTAAAATGCACGATTTTAAATTTCACTACTAGTACATGCGATAAACTAAAAAATATGCTACTTGAGAGTATTTTCGTTTTTGGCGGAACTATTACCGAACGAATGGCAGTCTACTTCAAAGTCAACGGTTTTCATGTAATTATTATAAATTTGTCCCTCTTAAGACAAATGAATTCTCCACATTTATACTTATGCCGTATAAGTAGAAATGTGGAGGTTTCCTAGGTTCCTTAGGTTTTATCGCTTAGCGCATAAGTTATGCGCTTAGCGATAACGTGCATTGGACAGCTTTTTTAAGATAGATTTTTATTCGATCGATGCAATACGGGGTTTACAAACTCAAAAAATTTTCGTTGACTCCACTGTCAAATTTACATCTGAGTGTGTCGTGAACTCTCGCTCGCATATTTATTGACTGATTTTGTGATAGGTCTAAATACATGTAAACCGGTGGTCAAGGTTATAATTACTAGTACAAAGTCATGGGTTACCAGGACATCACAGAGTGTAAATCTGACCCCTCTTGAATACATGAAGGTTAAAACTTAAAACTGACACCACCATTCCACCAGTCCTGTAAAGCCCTTGATCACCATAATTCGCCAACCACTTCCCATACAGTTTAGCCAATTTGAATGTTCGCCGCCATTGAAAGCATGCATGTACAGAGTACGTACCAGCTGTTCAGATGTCAACGCAGTGCCATACTGGCCCTGGAGATACAACAGGGTCTGGCTGAGCACGGCCGTACACAGTACCCTGTAGCGTCGGTTGACTGCGGATTTCAGGATCTCCTCGAGCTGCGGGTTCGCATCCGACCAGTAGGTGACGGGCAAGGGACAAGCGCGGATGACAAAGTCGTTGGGCTCCACACGCCGCAAATCTTCAGAACTCCGGTACCTCAGCGCTGAGCGTACTTGATCCCAGCCGACCATTTCTTCGACAGTACCGTGCGGCAGTTGCACTTGCACGAATGCCGCTTCGACAAAGTAGTAGTTATCCAAGGGGAAGGACTTTCCCGGGTACCAAATCCAGGGCGCGTCCGGGTGCTGCCGCAATAGCACCTGCACGTTCTCGTGGGGAGGCCAGTGGCAAGGTGGGACATCACAGCGGAACACGGGCCCGTACGCGACGAACTGCGAGCGCTGCGTTTGGCATTCAAAATCGATGATGAGGCCGCCCTCCGCCAGGTTGACGATCTTGCCGTGCTGGAGGAGACCGTCAACCAGGACGTTCACGGCGTTCCACGCGAATACACTGCCTCGGTATTCCAGCATTCTACAGTTGCGAGAAACTTCAGTGGTTCAGTGTCTGTTTTTCGTACAGGCTACACGGCTCATCGGAGATGGATTCACCCAATCGTGCTAGATTTACCCAAACGAAATCCACAAAGATAAATGGAGTTTGTATATCGTTTGTGATCTGCATAGAAACTGGAGCAAAAATTAATAACAGTAATTGCTAAATGCACGAGCCTGGAGAAGCCCCAGTCTTCGGATCACAGATTTGCACAATTATTTTGACAGTTCGAATTTATCAAAAGCGGCAACATTAACGTCACAACCGGAAGTCAGTAGTGCCGCCCAGTGCGACGGCTACCTGCTCCAGTTCGGTTTCTGATTTTACCTGCTTGAGCAGAAGCACAAATTTGAAATTATAGAGAGGCCACATGCATTGTAACTCTTTGTAGCGACTCTAGCGAGTACTTCCTGAACTTCAGAAGATGTACCGATAGTATGCGTTACTACTATTTTCTTCGTAGCGAGGTTTGTGAAGCAGCATGATTAAGGAATAACGTAGACCGCGGGCGATATTATCTAGTAGCCGACGGAACGCGCTACGTGATCTCTACCAACAAGTAACAACCAACAACAACGAACTTGGGAATGTTGGGGTACCAAGACGACGAGTGGGAATGGAACGCCGTGGATGTCCGCGTCAACGACCGGCTGCAGTACGACAACATGCTCAACGTAATAGACAACGGTCTGTTGGCGGATTTTGGCCGCTCGCAGTTGAACACAGCTGTGGGGTCTCTTTGAGAAGAATGTCGTTCTCAATAGCCTATAGGCGGCATAGCAGTAAATGGTCTTTTTACAGTCTCTTCTATTTTACTCATAGATTGAATGTACATTCTCGTTTTGTATCCGTTATCAACGAACTATGACTTTGGAATTGTTGTCTATAACGATCTACCTAACGACGTTAACCAGGACATACAGATAGAGCGGAAATTGGGTATCCTGAATGTATCCCACGTCATCTGTTTCGTATCTTAAAGGAGACGCTCCATCATTTCAAGGAGCAACAACCTTGTATTATCATTAACAAATACATTACAGAAAGTGGAAAAGGACAAGTTCTCCACGTCTGCAGTTAGCTGTTAGGTATATGAACCCTAAACATCTCTTGCATGTTTTCGACCGACAAAACCGGCACTGCACAGCGTGTTCACATTATTCTGCTATCGTTAACACCGTTATCTTGTCTTTGTACGCGACGACACACTCTTCGCTTTCCGCTGATATACATCAGTGTGAACTCCTTCCCAGTTGCTCCAATATATTCAAGCGAGAATTCTTGCACTCGTGCTGTTTACGATTGTTTTGCTGCGAATTTCACTTTCATCAGGGTGATGTTACATATTACGTTAGCCATATCGCATGTCATAGTTTGTGGGTTTCTTGTACTTCCTTGTTTTAACGGCTTAAGTCTGGTGAAATCGAGGTTAGAATTTTACGTCTTGATACTTGCACAGTGTGCTCATGCTGCTTTAACTTGCAGCCCGCATTTCTATTGTGCTTGTGATCGGATAAAGTTGTGAACCATATGCCAGTTCTGATGCGACCAACAACTAGCGTTTGAATTCTAGCAGTTAAAAACCAGCCTTATCGGCATCAATCAAACACTATTTATTCCGCAATGGTCAATTCAGGTAACAATGAACTTGTGCAGGTAGAAACTACTTTAAATGATTCAAAATTTAAACATCAGAACAAAAATAGAAAACTTGAAAGCATGGATCACTTGATAGGAAGAAGTTTACGAGGCTTTACTGAAGGATTATTTTCCACTGTGGGAGCAGAAAACCATTACCTACTGGATGGAGCTGCTGTCAGTTCGCATTTATCAGCTACTATCCGATTGGGTTTAATGCACTCGCTCAAAAACGCCACAGTCAGCATGGACAGCTTTTTGACATCCAGATCCGAGATGTTAGACACGGTCCATTTCACACCGCGATACTGAGAGGTCGGGCGCGGATCCGGACTCTGGTACTCGTTCAGTCTCTAGAATAATCCGACATTCCCCGATCGTTTAGTGTGCTCGGCACTATGTTACGACTAATGCATGCACGCTTTTTCGACAATGGGCTGCAGAATGCTTTTGATTGTACAGGAATGAGCAGTATCCTTATGATCACATTACTTTGCGTGACGACATTTATGCCTATACGGTGTAATAAATTCTAATGCTTAAGTGTTTCTGTCCGATGGCCATGCAAGTGGGAATGAAAGGAAGGCAGAACTAATTTGGTTGTGGTTCTGTTAAACTCTACTTATCGATACTCCAATCTAAATAGACCTCTGTAGTCTATACATTGCTGCACTATCTTTTGTTGCTGTTTACATATTGTAGCGGTAGTATTTATAACACCGATAAGACCACCCAGTTATGATGCATCATTCCAACGGGCTATGAATTTCAGTCCTTTACCGGCTAGTTCTCCTCATAAATTTCTAGAATTCAGTCTTGTACTCAGCTTGCTACAGCTTGCATCAATTGGTGCCTCTTGCTCAAACCCTTGCTTATAACCTTGCCCCTTGTCTTCATTCCCTTGACAGTAAACATGCCGTGACCTTCCGTTGTTATGTTCTTACGTCACACCACCACACCGTTGCCGGTCGTGCCAACCTTTCATCCCAACAGCCCAACATCGTGGACCATGGTTAAGGCTGATCGCCAACCCAATAGATCAGCAGCCAAATATTTACATTGGCTGACGTACTGCTTCAGGGTTTATCAACTGCAACATTGAGAAGCAACTAGGCTCCTACCCATAAAACGTTGTCAATCTCTCTAGAACGCTGGTGGACCAAGCAGTCCGCGATCCATTCCGCCAAAGCCTTTACATCAAATGATTTCTCAGCAGCCTGCAGGTTCTCAAAGAGATCCCACATCTGCACCTCAGCGTCGGCCCGCGATCGGACAGTAAATGTATGCTGCTCCACAAGAACGGTCCGCCTGTCGTAGTAAATGCAGCCCCCGCTCCATATCATTCTCGCACACGAACACTCCCAGACCTTGCGAGCCAAACAGCCAATTAGATACGGCACGCCCTCACATTCTTCGTCCAGCTCGCACTCGTACATCACCACGAGCGGGATCTGCCGGCGTTCGTTGAAGACGCGCTTAATAGGCGTCGGCACGTGCAGGAATCCGCCTCGGTCCAGATCGCTGATCACCACCATCTTGGTGGCGTTGGTCAGGCACTTGAACAAGCAGGCCAGCATCCAGTAGGTCCCGTCCCACGAGAAATCCTCATAATAACCTGCCTGGCCAAAGACGCGGACATCGGGAAAGTAAGCTTTCGTGGTGAGGATGCTGTTCCACACGTGACAGACCCGCCGACAGCGGATGCGCTCGATGGAGTCCAACGACTGGAAGACCTCAAGGAGCAGTTCAGTCGGCAACGGCAGACAGTGGGGCTTCCCGGCAGTTTTGCGCGTTTCACCGCCTGTTTGCAGCACACCGATTGGCCGTTGCTGTGTCGATAACGAGCCGCCGCTCGTCAGCTCTTGTTTCGCTTTATCGCATTCGTCTTGCTGAAACAACGCACACCCGTCAATACTTATGAATAACATAAGAGAAGTGAGTAATCCCCGTTCCTGTCTGTTAGCTAAACTCCCCCCCCCCTCTTTCCGAAAACAATTGGCGCAACTGGCGTCGGACCGTACATGTTAAAAAAAGGCGAATTTGGAACGGGCGCAACTGGCGCCATTGATCTTTTTGGAGAACAAAGGTGCGCCCCCCCCCCTCCCACAAAGCTAAAGACGGGCCTGGTTGTATGACTTGTATCCACAGTATCCCACCGTATTCCACAGTATCCTCTGCGTATCCTTTATGTATTCCACAAATTTCTACTTTGTTTTAGTTACAGTAGTATCCCACCGTATCTCTGCAGTATCCTTTTGTGCATCCCAAAATAATGTACCGGTAAGTGTTATCTGGATACTCGACGGACACTGTTGGTTCGATAATAATAATTATATATTATGTTAATCTGCTCATAGCCTGGTGGTAGCACGTTCGGCTTTTGAACTGTACAGATATAGCCTGAGTTCGATTCCCAGATGTGAGATGAGTAACTTTTATTTCAAAAAACCAAAAAAAAAGTATAAAATTTTCAAAACACCAAAAATAAATTCCAACAGCCTTAAAAGTCTCCCTATAGTGTGTTTGGCTACTGTTGGTTCGATAATAATAATAATATGATAATGATAAGATACGTTGGGATACTACAGTTGCTGATGATCCTTTAACCTGCATTCAGCAGGATACATAGAGGATACTGTAGATACGGAGGGATACGGCAACTGTCGAACAGACGTCAAAAAATTATAAGGATACATGAGGGATACGTAGAGGATACCGTCAATACGGCAGGATACTGTGGCCGGGTACAAGCAAAAAAACATGCCTCGAAAAATTTAAGGAGTACAGAAGTCGGCCATATCTATGAATTTATGCCCTCTGCAGTACCTACCAGCTGTTCCGCTGTCAGTGAAGTGTCATATTGCTCCTGGAGATACAGCAGTGTTTGGCTCAGCACCGCCGTGCACAGTATCGAGTACTGTTTGTTCATTCGAACTTTCAGGATATCTACGAGCTGCGGGCTCGCCTCCGACCAGTACCCGACAGGCAGTGGACAAGCGCGGATGACAAACTCATTGGGCTTCACACGCTGGCGCTCCTTAAACTTTCCGTCCGTCATCACTGAGCCGGAGCGTACCTGCTCCCAGCGGACCAGCTCCTCGACGGTGCCATACGGCAGCTGCACTTGCACGAAGGCCGCATCCTCAAAATAGAAATCCTTGAGAGGGACCAACTTCCCCGGATACCAGCTCCAGGGCGCGTTCGGACGCGGGCGTAAGAGCACCTGCAGTTTCCCCTGTAGTTTCTGCCAGGATTTCTGTTCATACGGACGGCGGAACACCGCTCCGTAGGCGGTGTTCCGCCGTCCGTACCAAAAGTCTCATTATGGGCCGATCTCCCTCGAATTTTGCACGTAAATGCACATAACCACGAAGAATGTTTTTACACCGATCCACTGTTCTAGCATGTTTTTCAAATTTTAAAATGAATTTCAAAAATTTTAAAATTCGTTTTAAAAATTGAAAAAAATCATGGAAGTCTGGATCGGTGTAAAAACGATCTTCATGGACATGCGCATTTACGTGCAAAATTTGAGGGAGATCGGCCCATAATGAGACTTTTGGTACACCTGAATGCATTTAAACTTTTTGGAATTTTCTAACAGCCATAACTCCCGAACCGGATGTTGCGCGCACAAGCGGTTTCCACACCAGTGTATACAAACCTTCTGGCTATAGAATGTCATAAACCGAAACAAAAATGTGTTTGGGAGTGCGCGAAAGTGTAGTTTTTGTGCATGTACACGAATTTGGTACCATGTACCGGGCCACTTCCCTTAAAACCAAATCCACAAAGGTTTGATCTGCCCACAAATGCAAGCAATAATAATTATTAACAATGATAATTACGAATTGGACGAGACTGGAGAACTCCTAAACCACAGATATAACAAAATTTAATTCTTTTGACAGTTCAGATTTGTTGAAAACCACAACACAACGTCACAGCAACAGGAATCCAATACTGCAGTCTGTTACTACGGCTGCCGCCCCGTGCTACGGCTACCTGCTCAAGTTGGGCTTCCTGATTTTGCCAGTTTTAGGGGATCCCTAGCAGTAGAATGCGGGTTTAGGAAAACGGGAATGGTTTGAAAACGATAGCCAGATACATGCTTTCACAATTTTGACTGAACGCAGAGAGGATTTTGGTACACAATGGTGTGACGCGATCCTCTCTGGCCTGTGTCTAGACCGAGGTATTTATCAAACACAGAAAAAACTTGGAAACTAAAAAGCTGAATGAGAAAGTTTCTTAGTTTATGATGTGATACACATCGCTGTGTTTTCTTCTAGAAAGCTTACAATAATACTGTCACGACCTGGCGCATATTTATTAGCAGCCAGGGAGCTGCTCAAACGCAGACTAAATATCGCAGCACATCTATGATCTAACAGCCACAATGGCAACCACTGTTGCCATGCCACTACGTCACAAATACCGAGACTTCAATGTTGTCCAACGGAATGCACTCCATGTAAATGCGAAAAACACTTTTTGAAAAGTATTTTTTTTGCGTTTAATTTGAACATTTTGAAGTTTTCTATCAGTATGTTTCGGTATGCAAGCTTTCTAGAAAAAAAACACACAAAACGATGTATATCACATCATAAAGAAAGAAACTTTTCAAACCATTCCCGTTTTCCCAACCAGCTTTCTACTGCTAGTGGTCCCATTAAAGTGGGACACCGACAACTCGCTGACGACTATCCTGCTGACCGACAACTTGCTGACGACATTTTGCTGACCGACGAAATGATGACCCGACAGTTTGTTGAAACGACAAATCGTTGAACAAAATTTCGCTGAACGACTTTTTGTGAACACCGACAACTTGCTGCCGTCAATTTGCTGACTGGAGAAACCTAAGAAACCTAAGATACCTAAGAAACCTAAGAACCCTGAGAAACCCATGAAACCTAGAATAAACAACAAAAAGTTAAGAAAACTCAAAACCAACGTCCCGAACTTGACAGCAAGTGGTCGATCAGCAAAAATGTTTCAACATAACGTCGGTCAACAACTCAGCCGAAAAGCAAATTGTCGGTCAACAAGTTGTCGGTCAGCGAGCTGCGTAAATCAGCAACATGTCGGTCAGCAAATTGTCGGGCAGCGAGTTGTAGGTCGGCGAATTGACGTGCTGCCCCCCTTAAAGTTGTAACAAAAATCTGTAAATTGCTGTATATCGTGCAACAACTGCCAACAAGCAAAATGCACTTTGCTGCGACTGCGAGTACTCCTTTCACTTATCAGCAGGGCGCAATCCGAGGGAAACCGAGAAACGGCCGAAAAATGCACCGATGGGGGAATCGAACCACGGCTACGTCGTTAGATCCGCGTAGGCAGTACCACTGCACCACGGCGCAGTACGTTGAAATCATTTGAAGTACAAGGCAAACGCCATCTCTTTCCCCACCCTTTAGTACCGTTTATCTCTTTCCCCTGCTGCATCGCTGCCGTGTGTGAGCGCACACGTGACGCTTTGATTCAGCCTTTTCACAGGCGGCACAGCGCTCTTATCTGTGCCCAGGATCAGTTGCGTAATCTGCCGCAGCCGCAAAACCGGTTTACATGTGAAATAGCTGAATGAAATGTGTCACGTGTGCGCTCACACACGGCAGCGATGCAGCGGGGGAAAGAGATAAACGGTACCACAGGGAGGGGAAAGAGATGGCGTTTGCCTTGTATAGAAAAGAACACGCTAAGCTGCATGAAAAACGGTTAAGCTTGATTAATGCTGTCATTCATTTCCTGCTTATCGCCCTCATTGAACGCGCAGACGCAGATGGATGTGCTGCTCCTTGGTGGTCACGCCGCGTCCCGCCAGTGCACGCAGGTATTCCTTCATAGGCTCCTTAAAAGCGCAACATCGGCTCTGGCACGCGCTCTTCCGTCACTCCACCAGTCTGCTGCAGTTGATCGTGCCGTCATACTTTCGCTGCAGATTGTGCAGGACGGCGTCGCGGTGATACGTACACGGAATCTCGAAGGCTTCCCAGCCGCCGTCCTTACTCAGCAGCTCGCGCAGAACCTGGATCTGCGACGTCTTTGAGAAACTTGACAAACCGGAGTAAGCCCCCGGCCGTGCAAGTCGACCAGAGCGTTGGTTGGTAGGGAAAAGGGCAACAGCGATGCAAGCACCACGCTAACACAGGAAATTGGTATACGGTACTGGCCATGCATGCAAAACGAGAGCCTCAGATTGGCTGACGGAAATTTGTTTTACCGTATACAAACAGAAAATTAATATAACGGATGAAATGAATGCAACGCTGGTTCGGCTGGGGTCGTCTAGAGTTGTTGTTTTCGACGTGGAACGAAAAATCTTCGGTTTTTCGGCGGTTTGCACAAGCACCTACGTTCGTATAAAGAGTGAACTTGGAGGCAAATTTATGAACATCGCTAATTCTATTTTTTTTGCATGTCAACTGTTTCACTTTTGACCAATAGATATGTTTCCAAAGTACGTCATCCGCTAGCGAAACAGAGTGTGGTATGGAAAACAGTTTACAGACCTTGGGTTACAATCGGAATTGGTGTTGCGAGTGATAATGGCGTTGAATAGTCATCCACTACCATTCAAAACACGGAAACTACCCATTCAACGGATATCGTTGTTTGCAGTCCTTGTATGACCTTTGCCGGCCAAAGTCAAAAGTCCGGCGGAATTCCTGACGGTGGAATTTGTGCATGTACAAAACTCACTCTTATGTTTTCGCTACAAGAAGACACGTAAGCTCTCCATAACCAAATTTCTTATTAGCAATTGCAATTCACATAAAATTCTGGTCAAAACAAGTTTCTCTCACAAAAACGAATGACCGCTCTTGCGTTCTAACATGTGGCGACTAGCAAAAGTCAAAACATCGCCGACGTCACTAAACGACACGGACACCTTTGAACAGCATTTGTGACCGGGTCGGGTTTGATGGAATCGCTCAAAACCGTCACGGTCAGTGTGGACAGCTTGCTGACATCCAGATCCGCGATGTTGGACACGGTCCACTTCACACCGCGATACTGAGAAGTCGGGCGCGGATCCGGACTCTGGTACTCGTTCAGCCTCTACAAACATCAAACATTTAGTAGTCGTTCTATAAACTACCATTCGTGTACGAATAAACAGTAGCACATTGTTCGATTATGGATATTTGATGTGGTATAGTCTGTACATTTGTACGGTTTGTGGGGGAAGGATGGTTGTGGAGGACTCAGGAGTACAACTGTCGAGGTGGAATAAAAGTAACGCTTTTTTCCTTAGTGAATATTAGGCTGACGTACCCATAAAACTTCGCCAATCTCTGTGGAACGCTGGTGGGCCAAGCAGTCCGCGATCCATTCGGACACAGCTTGCACACTGAGCGGTTCCTTGGCAGCCTGCAGATTCTCAAGGAGATCCCACATCTGCACCTCAGCGTCGGCCCGCGATCGGATAGTAAACATACGCTGGCCCACACCAACGGTCCGCCCGTCGTAGTAAATGCAGCCCCCGCTCCATATCATTCTCGCACACGAGCAGTTCCACACCTTGTAAGCCAAACGCTCAATTAGATCCGGGACCCCTTCATAATCTTCGTCCAGCTCGCACTTGTACAACACCACCAGCGGGATTTGCCGGTGTTCGTTGAAGACGCGCTTAATGGGAACCGCCACGTGCCAAAAACCATTGCGGTCCAGATTGCTGATCACCACCATCTTGGTGGCGCTGGTAATGCACTTGAACAAGCAGGCCAGCATCCAGTAGGTCCCGTCCCAGGAGAAATCCTCATAATAACCGGCCTGGCCAGAGACGCGGACGTCGGGAAAGTAGGTTGCAGTGGTGAGGATGCTATTCCACGCGTGGCAGACACGCCGGCAGCGAATGCGCTCGATGGAGTCCAGCGACTGGAAGACCTCAAGGAGCAGTTCAGTCGGCAACGGCAGACAGCGGGGCTTCCCGGCAGCCTTGCGCTTTTTACCGCCTGTTCGCAGCGCACCGTGGCAGCCTGTCGCTTGCTGTGCCGGCGGCGGCAATGACATGTCCCGCATTTGCTCATGCTTAGCTTCATCACATTCCTCCTGCTGCAACAACCATCATCGTTCAGTTATCACGGATGACATAAGCGTTCGATCCTCCCCCTGGTTTTTGTTTTACTTTCAGTCCCCCGCAGGGGGGGGGGGAGGGTTGAAAAGCCAAGAGGAACGCAAATAATTCGAAATGTTTTTTTTTAAAATATCGTTGCTCAGATTTTTTTTATTTTCGGGATTTGTGAAAAATACTCAGTGGATTTTTAAATATTTGTAAAAACATCAGCATTTAGGTTTTTAATTTCTGGAATTTTTAAAAATAATTGGTGCAAATTTTGAATTTTGTTAAAGATATCACTCAGATATCATATCAGTTTTCAGATTCTTTTTAATTTTTATGGAATATTTGTACTGTTTTCCATTTTTCTCGTAAATTTTTTCGGTAAATTTGTTTTCGCAATCTGACTACAGATTCGTGTTTAGCGCATCGAATAACCCTTGAGTTTATGCCACTCGCGGTACGTACTACGTACCAACTGCTCCGGTGTCAATGGAGTGCCATACTGTTCCTGGAGATAGAGCAGTGTCTGGCTGAGCACCGCCGTGCACAGCACCGAGTAGCGTTTGTTCACTCGCACTTTCAGCATCTCTCCGAGCTGCGCGGTGGCATCCGACCAGTAGGCGAGGGGCAGCGGACAAGCGCGGATGACAAACTCATTGGGCTTCACACGCTGGCGCTCCTTAGACTCCCCGTCCGTCAGCACTGAGCGAACCTGCTGCCGACCAGCCCCTCGACGGTGCCGTACGGCAGCTGCACTTGCACGAATGCCGCTTCGTCATAGTCGTAACCATGCAGGGGGGCAATGTTTCCCGGGTACCAGCTCCAGGCCGCGTTAAGACGCGGGCGGAGGAGCACCTGCAGTTCCCCCTGCAGTTTCTGCCAGGATTGCTGTTGGGACTGACAGCGGAACACCGTTCCGAATGCGACGAACTGTGAGCGCCGCGCTGCGCACCCGAAATCAATGATCAAACCGCCCTCCGCCAGGTTGACAATCTCACCGTGCTGGAGCAGGCCGTCAATCAGGACGTCCACGGAGTTCCAGTTGAATAACCAGCCGCGATATTCCAGCATTCTTGCTGATATCGTAGTTCAGTGTACGGTCGGCTGCTCTGACTGAATGCTAGTATTACTCCGAAATCAAAGCCATCCACAAAGGTATAGGGTTTGCTCTGCTCAGAAATGCCAGCAATAATGAATACCTGCTAACTTGTTGTCTATTGCATGACATCGGAGAAGTCCCAAATCAGAGATTTCCGCAATATTTTGACAGTTCGAATGTACTCGTATTTTATCGAAAACGACAACAACAACGTTACAGCTGGAAGCTCAAGGCAATATTATGGTAGATCTGGGAGAGATCCACGGGCGGGGACCGAAACGGGATCGATCCTGCTGAGTGAGCAGCGTTGTACACTGCGTGGTAAGCGGAAATGCGTAACACTCGACAAACAACTGCAAACTTTATCGGCCACAATACACTACAGATGCTCCCGCAGCAATTCTGCTGCGGGAGCAAAAGGACAGCAAGTACAGTAGCTCAGATCTAGCTACTGAAAAATCTACCAGATTGAAGATCTGGTGGTAGATGAAGAAAAATACCAACTTAGCACCCGCACCAGTGCGGGTGAATGCGGCAACCGCAATAACTGTCTTCAAGTCCGGTTTCCGATTTTACCTGCCTAGTGTCTACCGCCGCAGTGAATCACAATTATTGCGCAACAATGCAACATGCAAGTTGGAAATACTTTGCTGTGAGCCTGTGAGTACTTCTTTGAACTTCAGAAGATTTAATATGCGTTAATTTAATTTTTTTTTTCGTAGCAAAGTTTGCGATTTACGAAGCAGCATGATCAAGAAATAACTTGCACCGTGGGCGATATTTCTGTCAGCCGACGGAATTCTGAGATTCTCATCAACAAGTTACAAGTAGCAAACCAACAACAACGAACCTCGGAATGTTGGTGTACCAAGACGACGTGTGTGCCTGGAACGCCGTGGACGTCCTGGTCGACGGCCAGCTGCAGCACGGCCACGTGCTGAACGTGATAGACGGCGGTCTGGTTGTGGATTTCGGCTGCAGCTCGCAGTTCATCCCATACGGGAATATCTTCGAGTGCCTCCGCGCGACCGACCACCCCTACCTAAAATACAGACCCCCATGGCGCTGGCATGCAGGGGACGCCGCGCAAGTACTTCTGCGCGTTGCACCCGACGCCGCCTGGATATGGTATCCAGGAACGATTGTCGCTCTGGAAGATTACTGCCAGGATGATTCGGTATTGGTGGAGGTGCAGTTACCAGGCGGAACCGTCAGAGAAGTGCTGTTCTGCCAACAAGTGCGGGTGCCACTGTCCGAGGAGGATTTGGCGCAGCGGCGGATTGGGGAGAAGCACTTCGTTATTCGCTGCTGCCCGTTGCCAGATGGATACTGGTCCGCAGGATCCCCACTTTTCGCCAAGATCTTCCAGCATAACTTGCATGCCAAGCATGATGTTCTGTGCAAGACGGTGCTCAGTCGGGAACTGCTCTATTTGCAGTGTCGCACTGGCAGTCCCCTGGATGCTGATGCACTGGTATGCAAATTGCAAGTTCGTGGTATTTACACTGGTATTAATTTTCCTACTAGAGTGCTAGTAGTCTAGTACTTATTTAATTTCGTGAGACGGTCTGCAGCAAAATTGCGATATCAGCGGAAATCATCACAATTCGGTATGAAATCACCATCACGTGGCAAATTATTTTATCCGTGCCATAAGACCATAAATAACGATTTTGGCTTTATTTTCAATGTGGAAAACTTAAACCATGTTAATTAGTGTCCATCTGGGCAGGTAAGTGTGTAATGTCTGTTGCTGAATAACATTCGCTGTTACACATAGTTATAACTTAAGCATTAAAAAACATTTAGTTTTGTGCAGCATGAAGTGTTCACTGCATCGAAGAGTACCCTAGACACCATCCATCCGCCACCGCTGGCCGACCATCAGATGACGACACCTCATCGACCGAATAAAAAGCGCAAAACTGGTGTCATTCGACGATTAAGAACCCTGCACGTTGAACTAGTGGTGCAAGTCTTCCAGTCGCTGGACTCCATCGGGCGCATCCGTTGCCGGCGTGTCTGTTCGTTTTGGAACCATCTTCTCACCACCGACGACTACTTCCTCGACGTCCGCGTGTCCGGTCGCGCCGCCGACCTCCCGGACGGTCCGCAGCACGAGGAGATGCACTGGGTGGTGTCCTGTCTGCTGAAATGCGTCACCAGCCGCACGCGGACGGTGGTCATCTCGCATCTGGAATCTTTTCGGTGTCTGCGTTGCACCGTTCTGATCGGCCACATTCGCCAGGCCGTCCGCCTCCCGGCGCTGATCTTCTACCAGTGCGAGTTCGGCGGTGACGTTGACCCGGACATCACTCTCGCAACCGACATCAAGGACATGCTGGAGTTATGGGCGTCGTGCGATCGCGTCGTGTGGAAGCAGTGCCGCATCGGGGACGGCGCGGTGCTAGCGGTTATTGCGCTGTACGCCCTGAACGCCCAGCCGGAAGCCGAGCTGGAGACGCAGCTGTGGGAGCTGGTTGAGCGTAACTTGATTCTAAAAAAACCACCGGCTTTGCCGAATTTAGCGGAAAGGATCGTCGATTGCCTGCTCAAGAAGCCCCGTAAACAAGTCAAAACGGAAATTATCCGGGTAAGGTGTGAGCCGGATATGTAGCGGGTTTTTTTGTGCATTTTGGGTAAACATTATTACCTGTATCGTACTGCAGTAACCACACACCATTAGGATCTTAACAGGCCATTGAAAGATTTATAATTTTTTGGGTTTGATTTTATGAGTAAAAATTTATCCAACCTAGGAAAAAGTTAGAAAGGAAATTGAATTGGTAGGTGCTGCTGAATTATCAGAGTGCCGATCCGCGTCTTTCCAATCCGTTCCGCAACCGGAAGTGGCAGCTGTCCGACGTGGCCCGTCTGGATGTGCAACAGCTAAACCGAGTGACAACGGTCGCGCTCAGTGACGGCATGGACCCGCAATCGTAGCTGCAGCAATACAATCCTTGTTTTTATTAGCTCAAGCCAGTCACTTCACCAGTTTGTAACAAAAACAGGATTAATCCTCAAAACACAATCCTCATTTCCATCTCCGTTCAGCTGTCGAAATCGCAAATTTTTTCTCATAGCTTCTGCCGCAGATTTCTGTTTTCTTTGGTTTCCTTATGTTTGTTCTCCTAAGAATCCGTACTAGAAGCTATTTCCCAGAGCCAAGATTTTTTGATATTCATAAGAAGAAAGAATGAAGCTGATGTGTGAATAATGTGCTTTTGAATCTACCATTGCTTGAGCTTCTCGGTGTCTAATACTATCTATGGGTTATGATAAGAGATTTGTTAGCAGCGATGATATTTGATATTCCCCATTTCATTTTTAAAATCTAACCTAACCATAAGTACAAAGAATTAAGACCGGCATATAACGGTCATGTTACCAAACCAAAGACTGCTTAAAAGGGCTGGACTTACCGGCGACGGTGGAATCAATATTTCATTGTCTGCTCAGGAAACGCGAAATGTGTACAACAACTGGCGAAACGTGTACAATAACTGGCAGCACCGATTGGGTACGAGTAATTTTTAGACTAAAGCTTTTTTAAAAAGTCTGGAAGAGTTGTTACACTCGATGGAATCAAGAAGACTGGTGGCATTACTGCGCTGTGTCTCCCAACTAGAGCGTTGCATCAATGCGTAAATAGTTATTAGAAGGCCTGCGCTGAAAGTCTGAATCTGATTCTGAATGCTAAAAGTCTGATTCTGAATGCTAAAAGTCTGAGTCTGAATTCGGAAACTCTGATTCTGATTACTGGAATTCTGAATATGAATAAGAAGGCTAGGAACCTGGCCGGTGATGACCAAAGTCTCTGTAATAAAACCATAACAATATTAGGCACCGCGACATTTCGCCGAGGACAACTAGTCGCAGGACATTTAGTCGCAGACATTGCGCCGCAAGGACATTTCGCATCGCGACATTTCGTCGCGGGACATTTATTCGGGAGGACATCCCACCGCAAGACATTTCGTCGCGGGGCCATTTCGACGACGAGACAATTCGCCGTAAAACAGTCTTGACGACGGCAACTTGCATCCGTCAGAGAATAATAATTATTACAACAGTCGAAAAAACTAAAGAATATAAGAAGACTAAAAAATAAAAAACCTAAGAAAAATAAAAAAACTTAAGAAAACTAAAAAACCTCAGAAATCTAAGAAACTAAGGCCTAAAAATAACTTAAATAACTAAGAAATAATCGCGGAAACATGTGAAACCACAGCCCGCATGATAGCGTTGCGTCCGCCCTGTGGCGACAGCACCATACGCGCAATCATTCCGCACGTGGAATTTTGAGTTCTGCATAACCTCATTTTTTAGTTCCTGGTTCGCGGGTGAATTTCTACATTTTTGATTCTTAAAAGTTCGACTCTTGTAGATTTGGATTTCCGGGTTTTATGTTAAAACTTACTATTTTTTCGGTTCTAGTTACCCATATTGTTGGTCTTTACTGAAACTGTCTGGTTTTAAAAGCAGTTGTCGTAACATCTGGCGCACGATGGATAGCGATAGTGATCATGAGCGTGAAGAACCTGGCGGTCGTTTCTACGGCACTACTCGAGTGTTTATGTCAGCAAACACCGTGAAAAAGCCCTGTATGTATATTTGCCAGGTTTAATTTTTTGTTTATACATTGAATTCATTTTTATAAATAGTGTTGGATTTGCCCTTTAACTGGGCCGTCATCGAATCAGGCGCTGATATGGTGAAACTCGGATTTCCCTCCACTATGTTACAGTCTCCGTGGGCAATAGCCACCACGATAACAATAACTGCAACTGCAAGCGCCGGTACACTACTTAATAGTTAAATTTAAACATTAAAAAAGCATACTTATAAACTTATACTTAAACATTAAAACTTAAACTTATACTTAAACTTATACTTATACTTATATATACTTATACTTATACTTATACTTAAACTTATACTTATACTTAAACATTAAAAAAGCATACTATAAAAGTCTCCGTGGGCATACTTGTATGTCGAAGAATCCGGTAAGAAACATTAGTAATAATAATGTTTATATCATTATGATACTGGGGTTTCATTTCCGACGGTCACAGACTGTTTTGAACGTTTGAATAGCGAAAGCAGGACGCAACGTCCATTCAATCATGGATTTCCAGAATAATCCTGTATTTAATTCGGAAAAGGCATATAATCTCGCTGAGGAGCGCATTCGCCAGGTTTTGAAGGAGCCTGTACAACTGAAGATGCACATGCTGAAGAAGGTTGTTCCGAAATTCTTTGAGTCGTTGAAGGCAGGAAGCGCCGTGTTCTACGACACGGTGTATCACTTGCGACTGCTGGAAGTGGTTTTCAAGTGAGTTCTGAAAAGGCTGGTTACCTGACTTTCTTCTTTTTGCAGTACTGCACGTTTTACGCAAGTAGCAAATTCATTGACTTTGATGAGTTTGTATCAGTTAATATTTCTGACATTATGGTTTACTATTAATTGCGCGGATTTCCTGGTACTATACATGTTTTGTGTATTTTCAGCTACATTTATTCAGACGTCACGCGAATCCGGGAAATCCCTGAATGTCTGTACAAAGTCTTTTCATGCGGTGATATGAAAGACACTCAAGTTATGCGGTTCGGGCTTTTTCTGCTGCGTGGTGGTTTTGACATTAGCCTGTACGAAGAGATGGTGTGTCCTCGTGGCATGGACTTGATGAAAGTTAATCATATTGTGGGAAAAAATTGGAAGGTTTCGTTGGCACATCAAAGCCCGTCTACTACAATGTGGAACAGCATGTGGCCTCAGTATTGGTTCCACTGATTTTACTGGGTCAGCGACCGGTTGCTATGAAAATCGCCGATAGGTAATACGCATATAAGTGTTCTTTAATAATTAAAGTAACGTTAAAAATTAAAATTTTAATAGCCTGGGATATCCACGATTGTGTGAAGAACTAGCACAGGGAGGGAGCAAGGTGTTTGTAGGGCCTCCCTCAGCGGTTTTGGGAAACGTTTACCGTCTGCTCCGTGATACTCGTCGCATGACAAAGCTGCGTCTGCATGACTCGCGCACAATGGTAAACTATTTGTACTAATGTTTGTTATATTAATAATTGGTTTTGACGCTATCATTAATTGATAGTTACCTATTCAATAAACAGGGGAAAATTCAGTTTTCTTATTTATAGCCTGAAATTCCACATGTATGGAAATGCACTGGATGTGATTTCGAGGGAACTCAATGGATGTTTTTGGCTCACTTCAAAGCCAGCCACAAGGGCGTACGTAGATGAAGTTTTAATGTTTTAATTATAGTAATGGATTTCCAAAATTTTAGGAGGAATATCGAGCTTGTGAGCAGTGCGGCGTGCCATGGCTGACTGGAGGACATGATGATGACTTCGATAACGTGAACTACTGGAAGCATAGAGTTGTCTGCCCCAGTATCAAAGCTGTCTACGACTGCCGTGTCGCTATCGGCTCCAACTTTCGTAAGCCCAAAGGACCCTGGATTTCCACGATGATGTTAGGCGTTTACAAGAACGGCCGGCAGGTTGTGCCACCGACCACGGAGTACATCTTAAGTGTCCAACCGGGCCGTCCTGTCCACTCCGTTTACTTCTCCTGGCGCTTGGCTGGCCCTTCAAAGGCGGTTGTCCATGAATCCGAGGATTCCGACACGGAAAGTGTGGCGTCCAATGAAAGCGTGACCTCCGCTGACACCGAAACGTCCGCCGACAGCTTGACCACAGTGGTGTCTTGCAACAGTGCTGCCACGGCTGTAAGCACTGAAAGCGCCAACACAGTCCACTCGGGCGGAAGCGTGCAAAGCCGGGGAAGCGTAAGTACCTTTCACTCCACGTTTTCTTTCACACTGTGTTGTTCTGGTATTATATTTCGCTATATTTCAGGTGTGGCAAGAGCGGATGACTCTCTACTACGAAAATCATTATTTCTAGGATATCCATGGATTGATGTGTTAACTGGCGTCTCACTACAAATAGTTCAAGGATTTCCGGGGGATTGTTTTGTCATTGATTTGAATAGGCGTTACTGCACCTTTTTGATAGTGAAATCATTTTTGCGTGGATTTCCATGAATGCATTACTGAAATAAGATTTTTATCCACCCGGGGAAGTCCAGATATTGTTTGTACACTTTAGTTCTAACGGTCACGCAGTCTGCTGTACAGTGCTCGTGGTTTGATTACTTTTACATAGTGATTGATCTTTGGACTGCTCATTCGCATGAGCATGGAATGTTCCTGTTTTGTCTTGAGAAATTTGAACTAAACTTTCGCTGAATGAATAAAATACTTGAATTCGATGTTATTATTTATTTAAGAATTCACAGATCTAAATGTAAACAACTAGGGATTTTGGCCACAGTAACTCGAGCACCGCTGCTGCACTGCATAACAGCAGACAAGGCATTAGTTGAAAGTACTGCAGTATACTCAGAAACATTAAGTAATTCAAAAAAAACCGGGAAATCCCTGTCTTTTAAAAACAGCGTTGAGAGGTTATAATTGTGCACTTTTCCAATTAAAAAAATACTGGCTTGTCCCGTATGGTCTTCTGCAGCTACACTCCACTCCACTTTGACAATCTCTTTCGCATTCGTAAAAATGAAGGACGAATTTCGATCTGAGCTTTCGGTGTTTGCGGCCTTGCAGGTAAAGCCGGCATTGACCACACAGGATTTTGAAAACCCGATCACGGTAACATCCTGCCCAACCGCTTCATGCAGTAATTTCAACGCCACATCATGGAAATCCAAAAATCTTTTTCGAAGAGACATTTCACTAATGATTTCGCCATTCAGAACCGCAACCGTATCATTTGAGTACACAATTATGGCGCCCTTTTTCTGTTGCGTGTTTTTCAGTCCACTCAGAAACAAGTCTCGTCCGTTTGTGTTCCCGCCTCCAAAATAGCTTTCCAGGCAGGTCTCACAGAGCGCTAAAGTTGATGTTTTCGCGATCTCTTTACTCAAATGCTGACTTCCATGTAAGCGTCTCATGATGCATCCAATATTGGATTCACAATGGAACGTCCAGTAATGGTTTGCCGGGCCCCAGTCTTCCATTTGGCCTACAACATGGAGCAGCTGATGGACATTCGATCCCATCTTTTCTTTTCCGTAAAGCTGTTGGAAATCCTTGATGAAATTATGCACTTCTATGTTAAGCGCGCAAAGCAACGCAGTTGGCAGAGAATCACTTAACAAAAAATGGCAGATACGGACCAACTTCAGATAATGTATATACAGATTTTTATCCAAATTTCCGTGAAATGCTGCTGGGCCAAAAAACATAAGAAGAAACAACAACTCACCGCCGTCAAATTGGCTGTGATAGTCCATTATTGAGCGAACCAATCTTTTTACACACAAGTGTGGCTTACAAAGGGAAAGCGACCAATCCGAATTTTGGATATCCAGGAATTCATTATTAATCCAAAACTCCAGCATAGTCTTATAAATGCCCTCGCAAATCAAATGAAGGAAATCCGAGGTAAAACTTCTGGGGAAATTCACAACTGGGAGTGATAGGGCAGACAGAACGGAAATCCCCCTTACACCCTTCAACTTATCCTCCATTTTCTTTTTCTGGTTCTTGTCGTAGTTGGCGGCCATTAAAGCTAATTCCATATGCTTTTGATGATTCCGTAAAGGTAGCTGGTCACTGTACTCAAATATAAGCGTTCCCGAGAGGCTGCCTTTTTGAGTACAAGTCGTACAACTGTAGTATCCAGTGTGGCCTTTCACTTCCATCAAACGATTTCTTTCAACAGTATCGCATGGAAATAAGACCGGAAACACTGTGATCAATGTAGGATTTCCTTGAATCTCACAAAGTAGTCCATTTGTCATAAGATGATTAATTTCATCAATGAAAGGAGCAAGTAATGTGTCACGGGGCGGCATCTTTCGTCCTGCAATTACGATTAGCCATCAACTGATGTTGCCGAGAATTAAATAACTTGAAATTTTTGTTATAACACGGTAGTCCTAATTTTAAGTAACGGCACTGATTACTGAGAAAGAATGATAGATTTGATACCAATTTTTATCCTTACCGCAATAAATCAGGAAAGGAAAAACATGCCGCTGGCGATCGACGCGCCTCATCTCATTGATTGTAAACTGTCCAACATAACAGGTATTCTTATTCGCGGATTTCCCTTTATGAGGTGTTGCATTGTCTAAGTGAATAGACAAGGAAATAAACGGGCGATCCATCCCAAAATTCTGTCGGCAACAGCGATACATGGATCCATCTGTCAAATCCCGAATTTCGCCGGCTGCATTTTCGGTCGGATTGAATCGGATTTTTCGATGATTTGCTTTCAAGAAGATTTTGAGAGTTTCTGCCACTGACACATAGGTAAAGTAGGCCATTTTCTTAACACACTTATCTTTGATATTAATCATCTGGTGATCAGTGGGAAACTGTAGTTCATTTTCATCTAAAGCTGGAAATCCAAGATAACAATTATGCTCGGAGCAGAAGTAATGAACGCGATAATCCGGTAAATATCCAGTAAGTAGTTTCGCCAGTTTGAACCACGACTGTGGGAAATCCTGACCAGAAACAGGAAGGATTTTTGCGTCTTTCTGAAACAATCCGATTGTGGCTTGTCGAGACAGGTTATGGCGTCGCGCAAAAGCCAGTTGGAGATGGACATATTCCCCGAGCGATATGGCCGATCCCTCGTACAACGGCGCGCTTAACCTCTCGCCTTCAAGTCTTTGCGCATAACTATCATCCCCCAGTTCGTTATCTGTCCATTCCGCGTCTGTCTCAATATCACTGGCAATGGATTCGCAGTCGGATTCGCTGCCGCACTCACTCGAAGAGTCTTCACCTTGCTGGGAAATCCCTGAGTTATCGAAAGGCAGAAAGGAATCGATAATTTTCTCCGCTGCTGCAACACGGGTTTTTTCACGGCTCTTCTCAATCTGTCGCTTTTGACGCGCAGTTATCTGCTCACTAGGATCACGAAGATACGAATTATAAAAAACTCTTGGTTTTTTACTCATGATTGTAAAATTTCAGGTATCACTGTCGGGTTGATTTAGGATAAACTAAAAAAACCAGAACTCGAAAAACTCAAGTTCTATACCGTAATTAACATTGCGCAGCACTTAATCGCTGGAAAGCGTAAAAACATGACAACGTCACAGCGGACGTCGCCCACTCTGTATGATTGGTTACGAGTTCAAACGTTTCAGATGCTGCGCATCTGGCGTTCATTCGCGTTCATTCGGACTGCGAGCTGCGCAACCGTTGCAAGCGAAAGTTATTTGAGCATCGAGCGCTCAAAGTGTTCCCACTTTTCTCTTCGTTAAATGATTCTGTACGCCTTTGTTAACTTACTAGCAGCTGAAAATGTCCAAAAATGGTAAATGAATGTTTAAGAAAGGTTTAAATTGTTGAAAAACGTGAACTTTTATTAAGGTAACGAACAAGAAATCCAGGAAATCCAAGAAATTCAACCCTTTGGTGGCAGGAAAAAGAAGCAGTCGAACTCTGGTAATTCTGACACTTTTCGGTCGACCTTTCCTTCGAAACTTTGAGCTTTATCTGATTTTCAGAAAAATTCAAGGCCGTTCCTGAAGTCAAGCGTCCCGCCCGACGTACAAAACCGCCAGCAAAATATGAATCCGCCAAAGAAATGCCAAAAGAGGCCAAAAAAGGTAAAAAACTTGGATGTTTGAACGTTTCTTGTTTGAAAAACAGTAAATAATAAAAAATGGAATTCCTTAATAAAAGATCTGGCAGCACTGCTTTCTTGTGGGATTTATTGTTTTCGAGTTTCCAGCTACCACTCCCACACCTGAAAAACCCGTTCTACCCAAGATGGTTCCTATGAAAGAGTTGAGAAAGGTTGCAGAAGCAAACGTTTCTTCAGGGAAATCCACGGAAAGTAAGTTTCTTGTCATTGCATACAATGTTGCTGTTTTTCACTGGGTATTAAGTAATTTATTTAATTTTTAGCATTGTTTAAAGGAATCGTCCCACTAATTTCTAATATTTCGATTGATTTGCTTTGTCGGGTTAACTTTATTGCCAGTTTCACTTAGGTGACGCAGAGGAAAATCGGAACCCCAGCAGAAACGAAAAAGACCAGGATTTCCAGGTTTTTTTTGAAGCTTTTTGAATGTTTCTTCTGATATATTGTTAATTATTTTGTATTCCGCAGAAAGAAGGGTCTCCGGTGGAACCACTCGACAACTTCGAAAAAGCCGTCCAACTGCTGACGGAGAGAAAACGTAAGTTTTATGGATGTGAAAACTAGCTTGGAAATCCAAAAACAATAATATTTAACAGAATAACAATTTTTCTAGAAACACTCGTCATCCGATTTCAAGGAGACAACATCGTTGCGTTAAAATCGGCTTTGGAATTCGACGTTGACCCGATTTATCCAGATGTGTTAACACGCTTTTCCATTGCCGCGGACGGATTTAGTCACTACGATCGTATTTTGACGTCCTATAACGGACGACCATATCCCGCGGAAATCCTTGCAGTTTGTAATTCTGTGTCTCAAGCTAGTTCGGTAAAAGACAAACTGGAAAGAAGTTGGGTAAGAGGTTTATGTGATTAAGGTAATTCTGGAAATCCGCGTAAAAATACTTTTTTTAATTTTGTAGGAAAAGTCTGCTCCGACTACGTCAACGGAGGCTAACAAGAAGGAAACGCAGGCTCTTCAACGGAATACGGCAGTCGCCAATGGTGGCATTCGAGCAGTTCCTCCAGAGCCCGCCTCTTCCATGCGGAAAATTCCAGAGGTAGCAGAGTTTTGAAATTATTAAACTGTTGTTAACTGTCTCTGTTTAAAGCGCGTAGCTGCTGGCGCCTTTGGTCAATCGGTTGCTACAGCGAGCTTAAAGAGCGGAGGTAATGCTGTTCACTACAGTCTACAGTACATCCATCATTTTTGCATGTGCTTGTGTACACACCACATTGTTAATTCATTTGCAGAAAAAAAACAAGGATTTCCTGGATTAAGTCTGAATGAAAAACAGAGCGCTGGTTAGTAAAACAATGTCACAATGTAATTAATGTAAATATGTACGTAACGCATCATGGTGTATACGGCCAATCCAGGAAGCAAGAATGTGGATGACAGTTCTGCACCACCAAATAAGGAGGAACACGACCAAGATGCCAAGCGCCGTCATAAAAGTATTTACACACAGTTTTTCGCAAATCAGTTCATAATCCGTTCGACCGTCATTTAGAGAAAAGAAAGCGGGACAGCAGTTCGTCCTCATCCAGCGATTCGGAAGAAAGTACGATTTTTTAGAAATTAATGAGAACACTACGGTTACTAACTCGTAAAATATGTATTGCAGGTTCAAAGCGAAGTCGCGCAAAACGTAAGCGCCATGCCGAAGGTAAAGCAGGGATTTCCTAAATTATTTTCGTAGTAATATTTGTTATTCCAGAACGTGAACGCAAACAACGCAAAAAGCATAAGAAAAGGCGCAGTCGATCTCCGCAGCCTCTGTCATCATCTGGCAGCTCCAGCGGTAAGTACGAAACAGAAAGACTTTGTATACTGCAATCTTGTTTTGGGCCAATAGCGGTTTTAAACTACTGAATAAAGATAATTTTTTACCGAACAGATTTACTGCCGAAAAAGCCACCGACAGGAAAAGGTAATTTGTTGCGGTCTGATTAGTTCTGAGTTATGACATGGAAATCCAGGATTATGTGTTTTCAGGGTATCCTTATTTGGTACAGTGTGAAAAGAAAAGAGAACTGGCTCCATATACCGGGGTGTACATTGAATATCCGCATCTCCAGTCACTAGTGAGCCGTTGGAAGTCCAAAGCTAATTTAGCTTGCAACCTGGCGGCATTTTTGTTGGGTGGTGAAGAAGGTGTACAGCGATTTTTGGCTGAAAAAAAGCCTTCACCGCGCGCCGGGATTTCAAAGATGCATCCGAAGTTGGTTGCCGCTATTGGGCGTAAGTTTGTATGTTACAAATTTATAAATTAAGGAAATCCATGCAAGAGATATTCATTTCCTAATTATTATCAGCTGAGAGTTGGTTACTCTGCAGACTTTCTTGGTCAGTTGCCCGAAGCAAAATGCCCGGGGAAACCTCCTCAGAGTCTGGGTCAAACTATCGGCAGCTATTTCTCGAAGTTCCGCGTGATGATGCGTAAGCAACCCGCGGAAGAAGCAGAAGAGGGCGGCGGGCGCAGAAGACTTACTGAAAGAATAATGGCAGGAAATCCTTGTATTTTGCGTCGAGCATTTACTCGATGGATTTAAGTAAAGTAGGGATTTTTTTGGAAATTAAAGCCAGTTATGGATTAATTATAACTTTTTGATGAGGTTTCCCCGGAGATTTTTACGGCGTATAGTCGATTTTTGTTACACAATTAATTTATCTCGGATTTCCGTGATTATATTTTCCCGTAAACGTGTGTTAGCTACGTTAAAATTTTCTATTATTTTTTTGAATTTTAGAATCTGTCTATCTTCCGGGTAGAGTGTTGGTATCGATTATATTCCATCTGTTATGAACGCAGAATCATGGCTTCCTAGGTGCAGTTAAAACGCAATAAAAACAGTTTTTTTCGCGCAAATGTTTCATGTTTATGCTGCAGATCATGTGCATTTCATCCCGAAAAAACACACCGGAAGTCCCTAAAACGCACTTTGGCGATACTTCCGCTACATTTTTATGAAACCAACTAACTACAAAAATTACACACCCCAAATTGCGTAAAATTTAGTAGTGTCAGAGACCGCTCACACGAGTTGGTTGACACCTCTAGTGGCTTGCTCTGTCGCCCGCACGCGTATGGCTACGCCATCCGTGCCGCTCATATACGCTGATAACTCAGCGTATACTTTGTCTACGCTGACCAATCAGCGTTCGCTATGCACTTTGGAGGTGTGGCCCAGCGCTTACGAGCGATCCCATGCTTTGCGGTACCAGCTGTGATTCAGCTGCTGCATGCCGCGGCATTATCACGATTTCCACCGAGCTCGCTGGCAGCCACTTTTCACCACAGCTTTTCCGCATTGGTTTTTCTGTGCTGTTTTTGTGGGTTGCTTTATTGATTCTCAATAAAGGAGAGATATTTGCTCCCTTTTTGCTCTCTGCTTCTGTGTCATATCTGACATGGTAGCAGATGCGTTCGGTTTTCATTCCGCGAACCTCTGAACCCCAGTGGAGGCAACATTTCGGTCGAACTACGCAGCGACTATAAGTAGTCCTGCCACAGCGACTAAAAGTAGTCCTGTGATCCTGCGACCTCATCTTCCTGATCATACAGGCTTCACTGGAAGCCTGCTACGCGACGGATTTAATCATACGGGTCGCGGCCTATAAGTAGGCCCCCCGCAGCTTTGGCTCCCGGCGCAAAAACTGCGTTCGGTACGTCGCTGTTGACCAAATAAGCACCCCACCGGGTTGCGTTGATCCGGGTCGCGGCCTATAAGTAGGCCCCCCGCAGCTTGGCTCCCGGCGCAAAAACTGCGTTCGGTACGTTGCTGACCAATCCATTGCGCCCCACCGGGTACGCTGCGGCCCTCACGGTAGAAGAGGGTGAATTGGACGACGGAGCAGCAGTTTGGATCGACAAAATCCGGTAAGACCTGCTGTGGCGTCGTAGGTTTTCGTGGAACTTTCGTAGAACTCGAATTTTTCCCGGTAACCGTTAACTTCAAAAATCAATAACCTGTGATCCGATCAGCCTAAAAATAGCTTTTTCGGAATCCTCGTAAAAAGTAGTCCTAAAACCGACTATTTTTACTTTATAAAAATTAATCTCTGATTTTTTATCAATTTTTTTGGCGTAAAAACACCGCCATTTTGTCCAGCCAGAAATTTCGCGAAAAGTCGCGTGACGTCAGCGTGGTCTACTTCCGCATAAAATTCGACCAATCACAGCGTTTGGGAAACTTCCCTATGTTATAAGACTCGTAATGAGTCACGTTGTTTTTTGATTTTTGCTCACGGCACGCTACTCGTGACGTAGAGCTATTTGCAAGACCACTAAGTACGTGACGTCACACTGGTCAGTAACGTAACATAGGGCCATAGGAAGCTAACGCTAAACCTGAGCTCTAGCACGCCTGACCAGCATCGACCCGCGATCCGGACCTGAGCCAACGTTCCGGTCCTGACCCAAAGACCAAGACCAAGAAATTTTCTAAGTCCCACTACCATGGGCCAAACTCAGAGTGCCTTGGCCATGGTGCTACCATACACCAGCCATGAACAACTCCAACGGAGATTGTTCAGTCCTATGGACGGGCGCCAGACCAATGACTACAAGAAGCCACTGGGTAAAAACTACTCAGTGCGCGGCGCGGCGGGGCGATATACCTTTCGCACCGCCGGCCAGGCTGACTCCGACCCGGACCAGCCAAACTCGACCAGCTCAACCAGTTCGGTCGAGGCCAAAGAAAGGCGGGACCAACAAATCCTGCCGCCCGACTTGGACACAAGCGGGGAAAGCCTTGACGCCACCATGGACGATACATTCCTGGAAGCGCGTGAGGCGCTGTCCGCGGCCAACTCGCCGAAGGACAGCCAACCTGGTGCTGATAACTCGGCCCAGGCCAATAGTGTCCCTCAGGACTTGGCGCACCAACCGGCCACACCTGGCCCGGGCCAAGTCCAACCTGCGGCACCAACGGTGGCCACAGGTGAGGATAAGACACCAGTCGGACCTGGTGCCAATAACTTGGCCCGGTCCAACCTTGTGGCCCAGGATCTGACATCATGTCCAACCCTACCGGGCTCGGACCAGATCCAACCTGAGGCACCAACGGTGACCACAGGTGGGCGCAAGGCGCAGGGCCAAGGCCAAAAGCCTGGTCCAAAGGGACATGACCAGGGCCAACCGCTCATGAGTCAGTCACCAATCATGTTCGAAGCCAATGGCTCGAACCAAGCAACGCCGTCACCGACCAATGACGTCATCGGCGCGCCAGGCCGGACCCAACCGGGCCCGGACCTTCCACCATTGGACCTGGGACATCTGACCAGGACCACAATGAGGATTGACCTGAACCGGTCATCCTTGGACATGAGCCGCGCCGCATTCAGCCCAGACAAGCTGATCCAGGCAACCCCGCCCGAGGACATCGACAACATCGAAGTCCTCAGGACCAGAGTGCGGGACCTGACCAAACAGCTTGTCGCCGCCAATGAAGTCGCCCTCTCAGCCGAACAGCTAATGAAGGAGGAAATCGACCACTACAAGGCCCTCGCATCCAAATCGGATGCAGAGGCTAAACGTGTCTCGGCCCTACAGGCCCAGACCCAACTTGAGTTTACCAGACTCAAGTTGGCCCCGTGTCCCAATGCTGAGCGAGACCAGCTCAACAAGGACTTGCATCGCCTTGAAGTGGCGGTGGCGGGGCTGGAATTTCTGCTCGCCTCAACGAAGACCGAGCTGACCCAGGCCAAGAACGACTTGATGCAGGCCAGGGCTACCATTGACCAAACCGATGAGGAGACGGACCGTCTCCAAATCGAAAACGATCGCCTAACCGACGATCTGGCCAACCTGCAGGACGAGATCGACGCCCTGCGCAACGGCTACAATATGCTGCACCAGAACCACCAAACTCTGCTGCAAGCGACCCAACCTGGAGGACAGTGGGACCTAACGGCCCGCCACTTGGAAGCACAAAACGTGCAACTCCAGCAGCAAAACGCTGCACTTCAGCAGCAGAACGCTGCACTCCAGGACCAGCTCCGGACCGAGTCAACGGCTCGGGCCCAAATGGCGCAAAACAGCGCCATTGGACAACAAAACTTTGTCCAACTGGAGCAGGCCTTCAACCAAGCCAAACTGGTGATCCAGGGCCAACATGACCGGATCATCAACCTGGAGGCCAACAATGCCAGTCTGGTCAAAGACTACCAGACGGCCACCCAACGCATAACTGAACTCAACGAGGACCTGGAAAGGCTAAGCACGGAGAACGCCTGCTTAGATGCGGAAAAATCACATCTCGAGAACTTACATTCCGAGATGTCCGCTGAACCACCCTCATACCACACCTTTCCGGACTCGGATACACAGCGTCGACAAGCCAAAGTCGACGATGCGCTGCGGCAGGACCAACGGTTCTACCAGCAGCCAGTGTATCACCAGCAGCGTTACCACGCTAATGTCCTCCTAACGGAGCCATCAACGGGACAACCGCCTCTTGGGCCAACCATACCGGCGCCCTCGAGCCCCGTTAACCAGGGATCATCAACGGCGACACCAACCGTGCCGCCACAACCGGTCCCGACAACTACCTCAGCCACTATGGGTCCAACGACCATAGTGACGCCAGCGACACAGACGCAACCGTCTGTGCCAACCTGGCCATTCAGCTTTGGCCTGAACCAGCCGCCGTCTCAGAACCAGACGCCGAGCCACGGATCCTTCGGGTCAAGCTCACTGTATCCGAACCTGAACCCTAACCCGAGCTCATACTTTGGCTCGGGCCAGGCTCACACCTCTGGCGCGGACCCAAACGGGTCACACCCGCCGAGCCCAAAGTTCTCGTTTGGACAGATGGGAGGCCAAAGTGGCACACCAACGGTGCAATTGCCACTCATAGGCCAACTAAGCCTAACTGGCCCTCCTGTCTCATCGGCAGCCCAACCCGGCCAAGCCCAGCCACAACCGGGCCAAAGTGTGCCCCCGGGCCAGAACGTGTCCTCGGGCCAGCCCCAGGGCCAAAGTGTGCCCCACCCACCCGGTGCCGGCCCAACGGCCGCGGCACCACCCGGACCGGCTACTCAGCCAAACCAGGGCCAGAATGCGCCCACATTGGTCCAGCTACCCAATGGGACATACGGATGGTTGGCTTCCAACGGAGCCATCCAATACATCCCCGGCCCAGCGTCACAGGCACTGCAGCCGCCACCACAAGTGGTGGTACAGCAGATAACGCCTGCACCTTCGCCAAGGGCCAGTCCCCCACTCAATAACCTGGAGGCCATCGACCGCTACGCGAAAGCCGCAGCAAAGGCCAACAACCGTACCGCCATACCACCCTTTGACGGCGACAAGACCATGGTCAAGGGATGGATTGCACAGGTCCGACGGATCTGTAAGCAGTCCTCCGACTTAAACAAGCCGGACCCTGACTTCATGAGCCGAATCTATGGGGCCTTGACCAAACCGGTCAAGGAGTGGTACATGGGCCAGAGCAGCCGTGAGGAAGGTGACGGCTATACGGTCGACGAATGGCTCCAGAAGTTCCAGGATCGTTACGGAGACGACAACCAGCAAGCTAACGCGCTGGGTGATATCACACACCGTTTCTATCGACACGGTTTGGAAACTCCGGAACAATACTACGACGACATCCTGACTCTCCAGGCCCGCGCCAACTTGGACGACAACATGACTCTGCACTTCCTCAAAACCAACGTGCATGAGCCTGAACTGCGCCGCGCCCTGGACATTCGACTGCCGAAGTCCCCGACAGAATTTCGGGACTACATCCGGCAGTTCACGTCAGGAAAGCCACAGTACGACGGGAAGGCGGGCCAAGATTACCCGGTTATAC